CAGGTTTTTTTCTGAAATTATCCTGCTCATCATTTCTTAGAGCACAATAGTATTCTCTTACAATCATATACCACCACTTGTTCAGCTATTCCCCAATTGGCAGGCATCCTCTTAATTTCCAATTTTTTTGTCACCATAAAAAGAATTGCTATAAAAGTTTTTATACAAGTAGGGCCTCTCCTGCCTCTTAAAATCTCTTTGGGAATCAGATCTAGTAGTGGTATTGCTGGATCAAAGGATATGCACAGTTTCATAGCCCTTTGGGCACACTTCCAAATTGGTCTCCAGAATTGTTGGATCAGTTCACAACTCCACCAACAGTACATTACTGTCCTAATTTTCCCACATCCCCTCCAACATTTACCATTTTCCTTTTCTGTCATATAAACCAATCTGGTAAATATGAGGTGGTACCTTAGAGGTGTTTTAATTTGCATTTCTCTAATCAATAATGATTTAGAGCATTTTTTTCACCTGACTATAAATAACTTTGATTTCTTGGTCTGAAAACTGCTTGTTCATATCCTTTGACTGTTTATCAATTGAGGAATGACTTAGATTCTTATAAATTTGACTCAGTTCTCTATATATTTGAGAAATGAGGCCTTTATCAGAGACACTGGCTGTAAAAATTTATCCTGGCTTTTTGCTTTTCTACTAATCTTGGTTGCATTGGTTTTGTTTCTGTAAAATCTTTTTGATTTAATATAATCAAATTACCCATTTTACATCTCTTAATGCTCTCTGTCTCTTGTTTGGTCCTAAATTCTTCCCTTCTCCATAGATCTAACAGATAAACTGTTCTTTGCTCTCCTAATTTGCTTACGGTATCATCCTTTATATTTACACCATGGAGCCATTTTGAGCTATCTTGGTATAGTATTATCTATCTTACAGGAGGCTTCTATAAGACTCCAATTTTGTGTGAAGATATTATGTACATTTATTATTATTATACTCTCTAGTTCACCAAACTACCTTTTATTAATTTTGCATATATTCTATATATGCCCACAATATATGTTTTTCCCCTTAGAATGTAAGATCCTTGAGGGGCAGGAGTCATTCACTTTTGAATCTCTAGCACTTAGCACAGTGCCTGGCACCTAGTAATTGCTTGATAAATGTTTGTTGATTGATTGATTGATTAGTTTGATAACTAGATGGATCTATGATCAGCAATGTGGATGAGGGTCCTCTCTCCATCCCAAAGTCACTTCTGCAGTCTGTGCCATCCTTAACCATGTCCCCCAGTACACTTCCATCTTGGGCATACCCTATGTGCCTTCCTCTAGGTCTCTTGACATCACTTGGGTCCCAGTGCTACATCATTGCTCTCATTATCTATTGATACTTTAGTAGGTCGGTGATTTTCATGGCATGGATCTTCCTTCCACTGGTGCAGATCATATTCTTTCAATGCCATCTTAGCCTGCATGATTTTTATCCATGTTCTTCCATAAATCTTCACCAAGTCCACCAAGAGTGCCAGAGACCTTAAGATGGAGAACTGGAAGGGACCCCAGAGGTCATCTAGTCAAACTCCCTCATTTTGCAAATGGGGAAACTGAGTCCCAAAAGGTTAAATTACTTGCCTAAGGACAAACAAGAAGCAAATGATGCAACAATCAGACAGGCAGTCAATTACACATTAAGCACTTATTATGCTAAGAGAAGGGTGTCTTGCCAGTTTTCTGAATGAGTACAAGTACAGAATTCTTGATCCATGACTGAATCATCTCCTTTTCTGACCAGTTGACAAGCAATTGTTAAGTGCTTATTGTGTTCCCCAAACTTCGATAAGCCACTTGAATACAAAAGAAAAGATATTGAGTGAGGTCTCTTAAGTGGGGGGGAGGGGCAGTGCCTAGTTGTGATTTCATTGGTGTGGGAAATCCTCTGTTTTGGGGTGGGGGGGGGGGGGGGGGGGAGAGCCGGGAAACACCTCTACCTATGTAGACATTTAACTGGTTCGTAATTTACAATCTGAGACTTGCCTGGGGGCAGTGAAGGGTTAAGTCATTTGCAGGTATTTGAAGCAGGATTTAAATCCAGAACTTCTCTCTTTAAATCGTCATTAGATATTATTTTATTTAGCTCCACTATTCCCTATTCTGATGTCATGACATGAAAGTGACCTTAGGTTCTTAAAGGCAGAGCCAATGAAGGCTGAACTCTGGAAGATCTTACCAAGTCTGAACTGCATGGTGGATGCTGCCTCAGTCTTCTGAGTAACTGCGTAAGCGAAGAGAAATTTATCATTAGAAACCTGGTCACCAGAGAATGGATTTTCTCCGCCAGAGCAACTGGTCACCAGAGATTGGATCTCTGCATGGTTGAAGGGTGATCTCATGTCAAAGAAACCATGGATATTTTGTGAAATAGCTCACAAGAGAATCAGCATTAATATTATATTTCAGTAGGGATCCAAATGTCATAGGATCATAGAAAAGGATCTCAGAGACCACCTAGCCTAATCCCACTCATTTTGCAGATGAGGAAACTGAGGCCCAAGTAGGTTAAGCAAGTTGCCCGAAGTCACGTAGGGAGTAAACATTAGAGTCTGGATTTGAATCCAGGTCCTCTGACTCCAGGGATAGTGCTGGGGGCATGGGGGTTGGGCGAGGTAGGTTGGAAATTACATCGGTTTGACTAGGTCAGAAAAGGTCCATACGGGTCACCTATATAGAAAACATGGGATTTGAGCCTTGCAGCAGGTTGGCAAAGTGGACAGAGCACCAGGCCTGGAGTAAGGAAGACTTATCTTCACAAGTTCAATTCTGGCCTCAGACAGTTGTCACCTGAAAAGTCATTTAATCCTGTCTGCCTCAGTTTCATCATCTGTAAAATGAGATAGAGAAGCAAATGGCAGTATCTTTGCCAAGAAAATTCCCCAAAAGGGGTCATGACTAAACAACAAGCTGAATGATAATAATAGCTCCCATTTCTATGGGGCTTTAGATTTTACAGAGTACACTCCTCCCAATGACCTGTGAACTAGTCATTGAAAGTATCATTACACTCATTTTTAAAACTGAGATCAGGAGAGTAAAATAACTTGTCCAGGGCCACACAGTAAATGTTGCTGTGGGCACATAAATTCAGGCCTCAGGACGGCAAGTCCAGTGCTGAAAAATGAATGGGTAGGTGGACAGAATTTCAATTGAGACCAAGGTTGTTGAATGTTGCCCATCTCTTCTGGGAGGTGAAAGAGGACCAGTGTGGAAAAGAGGTGAGGCTATTCCATTTATTCTATATGACCCCTGAGAAGGGGAAAGAGTGGGGAGATTTATGGAGCCCTGTCCATCCACAAATCAGGTGTCCTACTTCCTGAGAGAAACGTCCAGAGTGGGCAGAGAAGAGGTGAGACTCAGAGAGGGTGGGAGGGGAGGCTGGGATCACAGAATCACTGTCTCAGAGTTGGAGAGAGATTTTTGGATCTTAGATCTAGTTGTGGAAAGGGTCTTAGAGACCATCAACCTCCTCATTTTGCAAACTCCTAAACTGAGGCACCCAAAGGTTAAGCTCTAGTCTAGCCTGTTCTCTCCAGCACCCTCCGTCTTTGATTCATACTTCCAGTGATGGAAAATTCACCACCACCACCCCCTCTTTTGAAGTTACCCATTGCACTTTGGAATATCTCTAATGATTAGGAAAATTTTCCATATGAAACCAAAATCTGTCTTTTTGCTAACGGCCACCCATTGATTCTTAACATGCCTTTTGGGATCATGAAGAACGAGTCTCTCTTGCAGAAAATAACCGTTTAATACTTGACTCCTGTGAGTATATTTCCCCCAAACCTCTTCGAGCTAAATACGCCCTTTCCCCTCAAAGGATTTCCAAATGGTGTGGTCTCCAGCTGTTTCCCCAGCTGGTCACCTTTTTCTGGACACATTTCTGTTTTTCAGTAATTCAGAGATCTCCAATCTTCCCGGTGTGGACACTCCCTCCACGCACTCTGCTCAAAATCTCTCCGTCACATAGTAGATAGATCATCTGGAAGAATTCATGTGGTTGAAAAACATATCACCCTGCGTGCAGTCTCCTTGTGACTGCTCTTTCTTCCCCTGTTTTGGTATCCAGAATTGAACCTTAGCTCCAGATGAGGTCCGAGCAGGGCAGAGGAAGGGGGCGGGGAGAGGGAATCTTCTTTTTCTTACTTGAGGATAACAGACCTTTCCTAATATGCCGCTTAAGAATTGCGCTAGCTTCCCTCCACCCCTGGGCTTTAACAGCAGCCGGGGGTCTAGGGCCCTGTCCTTGTCTCACTCTGGGCACCCTGCGGCACCCTGAGGCCGTTTAGGCCGAGCCACGGTCCAGTCCTGAGCCGAGCTGGGCGGGGAGAGAGGTCATTGCCCACCAGCTCCCCCATTCCAGGCCCTAAGATTGCGGGGTCTCGGGGCTACTCCGGGATGGGGTGAGGTCCGGGGGCTGGGGAAACAGAGCGAGGGAGCTAGAGCAGTTTATGCTAATCTATGGAGAGCCCGCCCCTCTCCCGCCGGCCTCCCCTCCCCTCCCTTCCCCTCCCCTCTCCGGCCCCGCCGCCAGCGCCGGTGGAGACAGCGGGACCGCAGGCGCTACAAAAGCACAAGCCCGCCCCGGGTAGCGAGCTCCTGGGTGCGCGGGAGCCGGAGTCAGAGCGGGAGCCGGAGACCCAGGGCCGGGGCCCAGCAGGAGGCGGGGCGGGCCAGGGACCTGTGGGCTGGGGTTCGAGGCAGTGGGACTCAGGGAAGGAGGGTAGGGGCTTCAAGCTGGACGAAGGGGCTCCCTGGAGGTCCAGGGACAAGGCAGGGACTCTGGGGGCTGGGGTTCAGAGAGAGGGGTTCAGAAGCTCGGGGAATCTGGAAGAAGCGGCTCCAACGACGACAGAGGCAGGGGGTCAGGAAAAAGGTGATAGAGTAGCTTGGCAGGGGCTCCGAGAGCGGGACTTCGGGGGAGGGGGCTCAGATCTCCAGGGAAGTGGATCTGGGGAAGGGGGAGCGAGGCCAGAGCAGCAGATTCAAGGGGTTCAGGCTCTCTGGGAGGAGGGGGCTGGGGAGCCCTGCTGGGCTTCTGTCTCCTCAGGACATTCTCCGCTACCGATTTGGGCTTGCTCTTTTGGAGACCAAACTCAGGCCCACACTTCCCAAGCGATTCTGCCTGCGCTGGACCGAGGCAGGCGGGCAGTAAGACAGAGAGGGAGCAGCCGCATCAGTGCCAAGCCCCTAGCTTGTGGGCCGGGGGGCGGCGGGGATGGGGATGGGGCCCCCGGACCAGGAAGCGCGCTGGCTTCGGTTCTGGCTGTGCGCCTGGACACTGATCTCCTGCGCTCAGGCGAAGGGGACCTACTTTCCCCGGCCCGGCCCGGCCGGCGGTCGCCGCTACAACCTGTACACGACGGGATCCAGCCCGCGGCTCCGCGAGGGGCAGCACAAGTAAGAAGCAGCTCCCCCCTTCCCTGTCCCCCATGTATACACTCCTCTTTCTCCCCCCCGGTGCGGCCCCCGGGGTTGGGGGACTGGAGAGGGCAGGGGACCCTCTTTGGAGAAGAGGGTCGTACAGGCTAAAACAAAGGTTCTAGCTGCCAATTCACTCCCTCGCTCACTTTCCCAAAATATTCTCTCTCTCTCTCTCTCTCTCTCTCTCTCTCTCTCTCTCTCTCTCTCTCTCTCTCTCTCTCTCTCTCCTCTCTCCTCCTGTCCCCTTGCTCTCTTCTTTCCTTTCCTATCCTTAATCCCTCTTCCTCCACACCCTTTCTTGGGTCTTTATGCTCTTTTCTTCCTTTTCCTTCCCCCCTCCCCAACCTTCACTCTTTTCTTTTCTGCTTTCACCTCCCTCTCTGGTGTTTTTCCTTCCCCTCCCCTTGCATCACCCCTCTTTCTCCTCCCTCTTTTCTCCTTTCACATCTCTCTTTCCTCTCTTCTTGTATCTTCCTTGGAGGAGGGGTTGGAAAGGTGATGTGGGTGCTGGGGTGGGGAAGGAAGAATCAAGAGGGCATTTTTTTTCCTTGAGAATTATGTCCTTGCTTCAGAAGGCCAGGAAGGGAAGGATGTGGGGTTTGGGAAGACAAATAAGCCAAAGGAGGCCTAATAGGATGGAGACTGGAACACTGGCCATGCCCACGGAAACATTTCCAGGAAAGTCACATTTTCCAGCTGCTCGAAGTGCAAACATCAGGCAGAGCTAGAGAACCCGGCCCCAGGTGCTGAGAGAGAAAGGAGGGGCTGTCTGAGAGGCCAGACCCACCCCCCAGCTGGTCTCCCCTCACCAATCCTCCCAGCCCCCTTCTCGCAATGCCCTTTGGTACACCAGTCTGATCATTGGGCTTGGGAAACAAAGGGTAAGTAGACAACATAGGGTCTTCCCGGACTTTGAGGGGTCTGTTTGTGCTTTCCCTGGCCTCAGTTCTCCCGTCCACCTCATTCCTCTCCAGCTTGGCTCTGAGGCAGTGTGCTGCTGTTTTCATTCTAGATGTTACAGCATAGGTTTCTCCGTGCCCTGAGCCTCAGCCAACACTTTGCATGTGTGCCTGATGTTCAGGAGCTGGGAGGGGCGTGGGAGTCATCTCCTGGGCCATGAACTCCCTCAGTAGGCCATGAACAGCAGGTGCTTGGCCCAGGGTTCCAAGCATGGGAGTCCCTATGGGACTTTGGGTCAGTTGCTTTAGGCAATTCCCAGCTTCCTCATTGATAAAAACAGAGGCTTCTATCCTCTTGAGAGGCTTTTCCTGTGAGGACCAAACCAATCCTGAAGGGGCTCTCAAGGCCACGGAATCTACAGTTAGAGGGACCTCAGAAATCATTTAACACAACCTCTTCGATTTACTGGGAAGGAGATTAAGCTCAGAGAGAGCTTGCAACTTGCTCAAAGTCACACAGCTATTAAGTGCCGTAGTCTAGATTCAAACCCAGGTCCTCCGACTCTGGATGGGAGGGAAGTACCTGGAGGCAAGGGGACAAGTTGCAAGGCTAATGCCATTTCTTTCTTTCTTTTTTTTTTTCCTGTGGCATTTTGGTGGGTGTTGGACAGGGAATTAGGAAGACAGGGATTTAAATCTTCCCTTGGACATTCAAAGGTGACCTGAATCACTTAGTGTCTCAGAACCTCAATTTCCCTATCTGTTAAATGGAATAATTAATAGCACCTACTTCACAAAATTGTGAGTAGTAAATGAAATGATACATGGAGAGCACTTCACCCTTTGAGTACTATATAACCTTCAAGTGCTATACGAATGTGAGTTGTTAAAGATTCCTCCAAGTTTTGCCAATGTTTTTAGTTTTGCATGTCTGTGGATGGTTTTGAGGGGGATGTTGAGGATGTGGGCTTCCTTTGACTTCACTCTTTCATCTTCCCAGACGTCCTCCTAGAGCCTTCTCTGGGAATGTATGGTGGAACCTCTTGAGTCCATGTGCTAAAATCTGTGGGAATACAGTACCAGCATGAAAGAGGGAGACTGAGATACCCTGGGTTTGAGGAGTGCAGGTCTGGGGAAACTGAGTGGGGCTTGGTCAGTGGAAGAATTAAAAAAGGTGGGCCCCAAGCAATAGTAAGAGGGTCTCTAGCACCCCCTGGGAACCTGAATAATTAAACTATCACAAATTGAGGCACTGATCCTCGGAAAGTGGTTCCCTCCACTGGGTGGTGTCTGAGAACCCTCAGCAAGTAATCAAGGTTCTATGCCCATCAATCTGAGTACTGGACGAGTAAATCATGGTATCATAGGGATATTACTGCACCCTAAGAAAAAACAAATATGAAAACTAAAAAGAAGCAAAGAAATGCTTGCATAAAGTAACACAGAAAACAGCTTGAGAACAGTATATACTAGCAACAACTATGGAAAATTATGCAAAACCAGCAATGTATACTGACTTCAGCTATACAAAGCTAACAGCAACAAAATATGAACAAATACAAAGAGAAAAAAGAGATGAGAACGTCAAAGGAAATATCAAAACAAACAAGATTTTAAACATTTTATTAAGACCATATACACTTTTTTTTAACATTGTACGAATTCGAAGTTTGTGATTTCATGTATGATGGTTTTTAATTGTATTCAGATATTTGCTTTTATTGATGGTTACCAAGCTTAGAATTCTAAAATTCCCAAATAATAATAAAGAGCAGAACCAGAACTCCAGTTTGGTGGGCAGGGTTAATGTCGCAGTCTCCAGCTATCTTGGAGTTTAAGGGTCAGGCAGCCTCTGGGTCTGTATCCAGAGGAAGGTTCCTAAGAAGAAAAGCAGAGAGACCTGTTTAGGAGGTGGGTAATGTCTGATGCCAAAAATTTATGTTGAGAAGTAAAGGGTAGAAGGAATATGGGATGGGGAGGGGGAGAGGAGAAATGTATTATAAGAGGGAAGACATTCCGGCCAGAGATCCTGACAGACTGCTCTGCCTTCCCAGCATGCTCTGTGCTTATGTGGTCCAGAAGAACGTGACATGCATTTTGCAGGATGGGGCTGAGAGCTACATCAAGGCGGAGTATCACAAGTGCAGCTGGGGCCCCAAATGCCCAGGAACTGTGGTGTGAGTACCTGTCAGAATTTAGCTTACAGGGGGAGGAATAGTACAGTCACAGAAGCTAAGGGAGGAGGGAGATTCCAAGAAAGGGGAGTGACCAACAGTGTCCAGTGTTGCAAAGATATCCCAGAGGATGAGGACCCCAAAATTACCTTACAGATTTGGGTAATAGGAGTTCACCAGTAGTCTTGGAGAGTGAAGTTTCAGAGAAGTGGTGACAGTGGGCCCAGAGCTGTTGGGGAGAGGTCAGATGGTAAGGAAATAGAGGGAAGGAGGTGGATATCTATACCAGGGATTCTTAGCCTGGACAGAATTTAGGAAATCTGTGAACTTATATGGGGAAAAACCCCACAAATTTATTTTCACTAACCTCTAACTGAAATTCAGTATTTCCTTCAATTATGAATTTAAAACAAACAAAACCCCATTATTCTGAGAAGGGGTTGGCTCTACCAGACTGCCAAAGGGGTCCAAGACACCAAAATGTTAAGAAACCCTGGACTAAGTCAAGTAGGCATTATGTATGTGAGGTTAAGACCGTTTCTCTGTGTGTGTGTGTGTGTGTGTGTGTGTGTGTGAAATGTGTATTTGTCTCTTAAAAGGTATGTGTACTTGTGTGTCTGTATGAGAGTGTGTCTGTACAAATGTGTGTATGTCTCCTGGAAAGTGGTTATGCATGGGCATCTATGGAAGGTCAGATCAGTGTGTAGCTGGATTTGTTTCTGGAAAAGTGTGTAGGTGTGTGTGGATGTATGTGTTTCAAAGTGCATGTCTATGCACGTGCATGTGAAGGTATGCCAATGTATAGATGTCTCTGAGAAGGTGTGTAGGTGTGGGTCTGTGTGAGGATGCATATCTGCCCGGGCATCTGTATGTACAGTGGGAACAAGAGAGTCAGCCTGTACAGTCCTGCCCTCCAGCCTCCCCCTGAATCCTAGAAAGCCAGGGCGGTCATGCTGCCTGCAGCTGAGATCATGGAACAGGCCCGGGAGGAGTGGAAACCTTCAAGTCATGTGGACCTCTCCAGTGGGAGCAGACAGGAGCCAAGAGGCTGGAATGTAGGGGGCTCTCTGCCTGGTAGGCAGGGAAAGAGGACGACTCCGGGGCTCCCCAGCCACCACTGTTCCCACTCACCTCTCCTGCCTCCGCTTAGCCCCTCAGTTCTCCCTTCCGCCAGCATTACCTTCCCACTTGGGGAGGTGGGGCCAGCAGAGGAGAGGCATCCAAGCCTGTGCTGCTCTTTTCCAGGACTCAGTAACCAGCCTGTCCTCAGCTTTTTGCCCCTGAAGTCACAAGGTCAATCCTGCCCAACTCTTAGCCGTCTCAGACTCCAGCTCTCACCCTCTCTCCCTTCCCTACCCTTACTAAAGGCGTATAAGTACGTCTGGAGGGTAGCATTCTTCAGCTAGAGCTGCTCAGACCTCAGCTGGTTGGAAGGAGGAGGAAGCTTGGAGTTTGGCAGGTGGGGATGATATGAGATATTTGAGGTTTATGCCAGAAGCATCTAGGTTTTCCAGGGAGAAGAAGATGTGGACGTAGTGATAACTCCAGTTTACATGGCACATTTTACAGATGAGAAAAGAGAGGCTCCAACAAATAGAAGGTCTTATCTAAAGGCAGATAACTCTAAGGTGTCAGGCTAGGGGATCAAACTTGGGTCTCCAGATCCCAAGCCCAGCATGCTTTCTCTGACACCTCTTGGCCTCTACTTGTGGCTCAGAGCCTGAGAGCATTCCCTAAAGGGGGAAGAATGGTACTGTGAGTATCTGGTCACCCCTCGTATAGCCACAGAGAGCAGTGAGCCTCCCAGCCAGGGTGAGATTCTAGCTAAAGCTCTATCCATAGCATCACTTACTTAAGTCAGTTCTCAAGGACACAGTGGCCTTTCAGAGGTGGAGGGGGCCTTGTTGACCACCTGGTACAACCCATACCTGAAAAAGAATCTCCCTTACAGCACCCCTTGTAAGTGTTCCTCCAGGCCTGGCTTGGAGACCTCCAGTTATGGGGAGCCTTTCTCTTCCTGAGGCAGCCCAGTCTTTGTTCACATGCCTCTGCTAGTTACAGGCTATCCTCTTTGCATCCTCCCCCCATTTCTTCTAGTTTTGCTCTCTGGGGACAAAGAGAAAAAACTGAATCCCTCTTCTCGATTACTGCCTGTCAAGCACTCAAAAGAAGCCACCATTTCCCCTAAGCCTTCTCTCCTTCGTGCTAATACCCCTGTCCCTCCCACCCACCTCTGTTCCTTCCCCTGGTCCTCATATGTGGGGTAGACTTGAGGCGCTCCACAGTGATGACTGCCCTCCTCTAGTTGCTCAATGTAGAGTAGTTGAGTACTAGATTCAGAACCATAAAGACCTGAATTTGAATTCATCCTTGGATCCTTATGAGAATGTGTGTGACCGGTCAAGTCACTTAGCATCTCTGAGCCCCAGTTTCCTGATCTGTAAAATGGGGATGGGGGGCTGGACTTGAGGAGTTCTTAATATTCTTTCTAGCTTGAAATCTATCATCCTGTGATCATCTGTCCTTCTACACTAGCACGCAGAACTACAGAACACTCCAGATGTAGTCTGAGTAGGGATAACCAGCAACTTCTTCCTAGAAGCTATGCCTGCTCAGCCTGTGGTAAAGGGTACACCTGCAGTATCCTCTGTGGCACCCTGTGTTCCACCCCACCTCTAGACTAAAGGGAGAATAAAAAGGGAAAGAGTAGATGATACTGATCAAGGGAAGGCCCTTCAGGCAGTATTTGGGGCCCTGGGTATCTGGGATCCTGTAGCCTCAGCCCAGAAAAATGGTAGAGATAGTGGGATATCCACTATCATCACCTCTCCCCTCTGTCCCCCAGGACATTGTGGGCTATCTGCGTGTGCCTGACTAGTGAAAGAAGCCCCAGCAACATAACCGGAACCTACCACTACTGCTCCTCAAGAAAGAGGTGGGGGAGTTGTGAGGGGAGGGAGGAGAGGAAAGCTAGCTCTGCACACTTATTTTGACCTTTACAGATGAGAATTTGGGTCTCAGCTTGGATGCTATCTGAGCGACCATGAGCTTGTCATTTCAACCTCTCTGGGACTCAATGTCTTCATTGTTTAACATGAGGATGACACTCTCAAGATTGACCTTGAAGGCTGTTGTCAGGAACCATAAAAGGCAGTTATTCCCATTGTGTGTTCAGGATGTCATCATCCTGAACCACGACAGCCTCTCTTCCTTACCCTTTCCACTGGTTGTCTCTCTTCTTTTAGGCCAAGGGCTAGGCTATGTGGTTGGGCTGATCTGAACAGGGTCAGGGGCCAAGGACCCAGATCCAGCCATGACATTAGTTCAGCTGGTGCTGAGTGGTCTGTTCAAGAGTGAGTACTAGTTCTTACTGTCATCATCATCATCATCATCATTAGTGAAAGAAGACAATTTCCTTTCCATCCTAGGTACCGCACCCTCCTTAGACCCAAATACAAGATTGGCTACAAGACCATCACAGAGCTGGCCTGGCGTTGCTGCCAGGGCCTGGCAGGAGACGGCTGCTCTGATCCTCTCCCTGACTCAGGAACTCTTCTACCTCAGCCACGCCCCCAGACTCCCTCTGGGCAGAAGCCATTTCCTGGCCCCAGAGTGCCTCCTTATGCCAGACTGCCCACCAGCCCCTTTCCAGGACCAAAGAGCCATCCCTATGGTGAGCCTGCAGAGTTCTCTGAAACAAAGCAATAGAAGCTGGGCCTATATAGGCCTATGGTACCACATGGGCCATTCCAAGCTGGGAGAGTGGTAGGGGCCAGGGACAAAGTACCCAGAACCTCCTTCCACATTCTTTCCCACACCCCACTAAGGGAAACTAGTGGCTTGGGGGCAGGGTGGGGAGTCCAATTGGGTAGGATTTTGAATATTCACTGTGTGACGTTGGGCAGTCATCTCCCCTCTCTGGGCCTCAGTTTCTCATTTGTAAAATGAAGGGGGTGGGCTTGATGACCTCCAAGGGTCCCTTCTAGTCTTTAGCAATCTATGATCCTTCCTGGAGGGCAAGTGAGAAGTATGTCTGGGGTAAGGGTGAGGAACCGGCAGCCTTGAGGCCACATGTGACCCTCTAGGTCCTCAAGTGCAGCCCTTTGACTGAATCTAAATGTGAAGTTGGACTTGTCATCATCGTGAAACATGACAGCCTAGAAAGGCTAGAAGTTAGAGTCAAGGCTGCCAGTTCCCCACCCCTAGTCTAGGGGAACTCCCATATCTATATCCTGTTATTCTATCTTCTCCTTCCCAGGTAGGAAAGGCCCTGGGCTGTTTGGTGAAAGGCTTGCTCGGCTGGAGGGCGATGTCCAACGCCTCATGCAGTCCTATGGTACCCTCAGTGGACTTGTGGCTGGGCTGGGAGACCACTTACAGCTGACTGTTCATGAGGACAACAGCAGGATGACCGGAGCCCTGGGAAATCCCCCCACTGCTCCAGATGCCTCCGTGGGCTTTGGAATCATTCCTGGTGGAGTTGTGGATCCTGCAGACAAAGCAGGGGGCCCATTCCCAACACTAGGGGAGATCCTGACCAAGGTGACAGAGGTAAGTGATGTCCTCAAGACCAAGACCAGCCTGCTCGAAGAAGTTCACAGCCTGGTCCTGGGTCATGATACACAGATAAAACACCTATTGGAGGGATCCCGGCCATCCCCCCTCACCTCCCTGACCCTGCTGGAGGAATACATTGACCAGAGACTGAGCCATCTCTGGGGTGACCTGCTGGACGGCTTTGAGAAGAAACTGCTCGACCTGCAGACCACGTGTGACTTCCGCATCAAGGAGATGCAGCAGCAGTGTGAGGAGGAGAAGGCCACTAGCCTCAGGCTCCAGCAGAGCCTGGATGGCAAGGAGCTGGAGATCAAAAAAGAACTCTCACTGCTGGAGACGCAGATCCAGGGGCTGACGATGGCGGAGGACTGCTGCAGTCACTTAACTTTTGTCACTGAAAGGATGGACATCCTTGAGAAGGGTCTGCACACCCTTGCTGAAGCTCAGAGGAGTGAGGCCTCCCAGTTAGATGGGGAAATGAGCCCAATCTCCACCACCATCCTGGACAACTTTGTTGACCAGCGGTTAGAAAACCTGGAGGCCAGGCTTAATGCTACAGAGGGAGGGGCGGGTGGCTGTTGCCAAGATCTAGAAGAAAGCATGAAGGGCTTGGTAGGCTCTGAGCTAGACGGCATCAGAACCACCATGGAGGATAGAATGCAGACCATAGAGGATCGGTTCATGACCATTGTAGGTGAGTTGGGAAACACCAGCACCCTGCGATCTATGGAAGGTGCCACCCTGCCCTTGGTGGGGATGGATTTGGCCAACACCCGGCAGCAGACCATCCGGGAGCTGGCTGTGGTGGAGAGCAGGCTCACCTCTCTGGAGAGCTCATGTTCTGCTGGCTCCGCATCTAAAGATATGGAGACCCTCACCACAGAAGTCAAAGAATGTCAGAGCAAGAGCAGAGCCCTGTTGCTCCAGGTTGACAGCAATGCCGACCTCCTTCAGAAGCTCAATGCCACTGTCTCTGAAATCCAGAGACAGCTGGAGGAAGCAGTGACCAACTCTCTCCAAGGAGAAATTACTCTGCTCAAGATTAACCTTAACACTGTCAGCAAATCCCTCACTGGCCTCAAAGACTCAGTCAGTCAGTACTCAGACACTGTCTTGTACGTCAACTCCTCACTGGATGAACGGGAGCGGAGAGTGGAGGATGAGGTCCACTCAATCCAAGCCAAGGTGAATGATCAGGGATCCAGGCTTCTGGTGAATAACAAGCAGGTCATGAACCTCAAGGGGGACTTGGAGAGGTTCAAAGCCAGGATTGCTGGTGACCTGAGCAGTTGCCAAGAGGCAGCGAGGAAAGTGCAGCAGGAGGTGGGCCACTTTGAGCAGCGGGTGGCCCAGGTAGAGAACACATGTGGGAAGCTTGGCCTTCTCACTGGAGGCCTGGACGGTCTTCAGGATGAGGTCCTGAGACGGGTAGGGGGGTTGTGGGGTCACATGGACCACCTGAACAGAACCTTGGCTGCCCATTCCCAGGAAATCATCAGCCTTCGGGATGGCCTCATGGACTACCAGGCCAAAGTGGCCGAACTGTCTGAGCACATCGGGCCTCTGCCCATGCCTGGAGAGCAGCAGGAGAACTAGACAAAACTGATACAGGAAGGATCAAGCTTGGCTTGAGCCCCTTGAGGTTGGGTCTCTTTTCTGCCGCCAAAAGTCACCCCACCCCCTACCCCCATATTGAAAAACCATTCTGGGGAACTTCCAGGATAATTCCCATCATCTCAACTCATTATCACATGGCTCATGAAGCCATCTTGTCAAAATACAACATGCACCAGCCATTCTCGAACTAGAAAATCTAGGAGTGTCGTGGATGTTAGTTGTTATGCCTGGAAGAAGGGGATTGGACTCTGCAGCCTCCTTCAGGCTTTTTCAACCACACCAGGCTCACAGGACTCTAGCCACTAAGCCCCAGACATTCATGTTCACTTAGGCAATGACTCTGTTAGGTTTTATCTCCGTCACCAGGATGAGCTAGCCTCTCCCAAGACTTCCATTCTCCTTTGTTCCATGGAAACCAGATTCCTTCTGCTTTTCCCATCCTCATCCCATCCATGTCTCTTCTTCAGGCCTCCCTCAGACTTTGTTCTCAGCAGAATCTCCAAGGTCTCCATGCCTGGGTAGCTGAGAGTGAAAACTTTTCCTCCTGGGACTCCTCTTTCCCATTCATGGCAGCTTTGTATCTCTATGAGGAGCCTCCATTTCTAGGCATGAGGACGCTAAGTGCTCGGACTGACTGGGAAAACCCAGGGGAGATTCAACATAGAGACAGCCAAGTTCTTCCTTAAGGGCCTCCTCCTCCTCTGAGGGGAGGGTGTAGGCATCTGCTTTCTTCCAAAGGGGAAGGGAAGCAGTCCCTTGAAGAAAAGAATGAAGGTAGCATTCAACAGTGGAAGTTCCTAAAGATACCAGAGCTTGTGAGACTGTTTCCCCCTCATATCCATTTCCATCCCATGAAGGAAAGGACCTTCCACTAAGCATGGCCCCTGGGGAAGCTGGGATTTTGGCCAGGCCTGTGGTGTCATGAAGAGAACCTAAGATTTGGAGTCAGGATGTGGGGTGAAACCCCAGCTTGACTATTTACTACCTGTGTGACTTTGGACAAGTCAGGATCCTTGGGCCTCAGTTTCCTCATCTGTAAAATGGGGGAGGGGGTTGGAGATGATCTTGAAAATCCCCTTTCACCTCTAAGACCTATGATCCTGTCTTGTTCTTTGTCTCCATTCATAAGATTCCTATTGAAGCAGGAATTCTCAATCTAACAGGTGGAGTCTCAGCAAAACAGAGCCATTTTTAAGAACAACCAGGGTGAAACTGTGCAGATCCTAATGTCCAGCCAGCCAGCCACCCAAAGGCCTGCTTGGTGGGACATCCAGGCATGAAGCCAACCCTAAGCTGATGAGCAGCAGCTTGGAATCGATGGTGCTAATCTGGCCTCTCAAAAGGCCATTTGGGAAAGGCTCCCTGCCTGGCTCCACCTGCTCAGGGACAGGGGCCACTTAGAACCTCGACTTCCTCTAGGAAGTAAAGTGGGTTCCAGCCCACTCAGGACAGAACTAGGGTGTTGGGAGAACTTGATCCCAGCACACAGTGGGTCTCACTAGAGTATGGGTCTTTTCCAGATCAGGCAGAGGTGGGGGAGAAATGAAGCCCACCCCTTCCATGTAGAAGATCCTGTTAGGTCTCCCTTGTTTTCTTTTGATATTGTGTGTTCCATCTGGATTTGAAACTGTTTGTTGTGTTTGGGGAGGGCAGGAAATGGATTAAAGCTTCTTGCCAGTCAGAAAGTGGTCCCTTTGATTATGAGAAACAGGACCCGGAGCTGAGGGGACATGGCCGGGTCATGCCTGTCTCCTCACACCAGTGCCTTTATCCCATGGCTGTCTCCACAGGAACTCGGATTTGGGGATCCTTTCTGACTTGGAAGGGTCAGTTACCAGCTCCAGGTAAGAGGTGGGCACCAGACCCCAAGCCATAGCAGCTCCAAGGCACAGACAGGGAAGAGGGAGAAACTACACTTCCTCACATGGCAAGTTGGGAAGGTTGACCCAGATCTTCTCTAACGTCCCTCCCTTGAGTAATTCTTTTTAGGGTTCTGACACAGTAAGCAGTTGGTTGGCTCCCCATACTAAGCCAAGGGGGCATCTTATGTTAGGTCACTAATCCAGGGGAATGGGAAATGGGACAAGCAGATAACATGCATTTGACCACCCAATACACCATCAACTCAAGAGGGAAAAGTGCTTTCATTTTGGTTCCTCAGGATGGTAGAGTGGGCAGAACTCAGGAGACTTGGGTTTGTGCCCTATCTCTGCAACTGTGTGACCTTGAGGCAGTTAGGTGGCACAATGGCTACAGCATAGGACTTGGAGTCAGGGAGACTGGAGTGGGAGTCCTACCTCACTTACTAGCTATAAGGACAAGGTATTTGACCTCTATGTGCCTCAGTTTCCTCTTCTGTAAAATGGGGATAACCATAGCACCTACCTCCCAGGGTAGTTGCAAAGATCAAATGAGTTAAAGTAAAGCACTTTGCAAAATTTGAAGCGCTATATAAATGCTAGGTGGTGGTAGTGGTCACGACTGACAAGACACTTCACCTTCACTTCCTTACATGTAAAGTCAAAAAAGTTGACTCAGAACATCTGTACTATCCCTCCCACTTTGAATATTTTTAGGCTGTATAAAACCTTAAGCAACTGGTTGACTCCCCATACTGAGCCAAGAAGGGTTCCTGTGTTAGGTCACTAACTTGATCCCTGTAAGAGCAAAGGGCCAACTCAGGGCAGGGTACGAGGGCCTAGGGGATGGGGATTTCATGATTTGCTTCAGAGACAAAGAATTGCACAATAACTCTCGGAATAAGGTTTTCAATCTCTGACCAGCGAGCAATATCCTTTCTACAGCCCCCAAGGTGTTGGGAATGTCCAGAGAGACTGACCAGAGACCTCTACTACCTTGGGAGTGGAATGGCTGAAGCATAAACTCTATGTGTTCCTCGCCCCACCTCTAAATGGGTCTTGGAGGGCTGGGGACTGACTGAACAGGCCAATATCCTCCAGGAAGAAAGATCAAAAAGTCATTTCCCCAAAGACTCAGGCTCCTGCTATCCACATTAACCAGCCCTAAGTGCTACGGCAGATGTTACAGTTGTTTGAGCAAATACTTAGCCTGGAGGGAGGCACAGAGTCACCCCCCCACACACACACATATATACACTTTTCATAGAGAAAAGGGAGTTAGACTATGGGAGAAAGCCTTCTTACCTACATTTATAACAACCCTTGTCCCTGAACATAAGCCAAGCCCCTGCTCTCTATACCCACATTTACCCACACTTTACAAGTTCCTGCACATAAGCTATTGTCCTGCTCAGTATACCCACACTTAACCCACACTTAACTAGAATCCTTGTCCCTGAATATAAGCTGTCCCTGCTCACCAAACGCTGCTACCCACATTTCATCACCCTTGTCCCTGACCATAAACTATACCCTGGCCCATTAAACATCACCACACTTTCACAGGCAACATGGCACAGTGGTGAGGGGACAGAAGCAGTCTGGGAAAGGGATGGACAGACAGCTGAAGACAGAAGAAGCTGCGAGAGAGCCAGAAGGTACCTTAGAAGTCATAATGATGATGATAATAGTTGACATTTATATAGTTCTTTATAACATTTGCAAAGCATTTTACATATTTCATTTGATACAACCACCCTATGAGTTAGATGCTATTACTATCACTTTTTACAGATGAGGAAACTGAGGTTTAGAGAGGTTAGTTGACTTGCCCAAGGTCACATAGCTAGTGTCTGAGTTGGGATTTGAACCCAGTTCTTTCTCACTTCTAATCCAGTTTTATCTGCTATGCTACATGGACACTCACACAGTCCTAGGATTCTGAGCTTGAAAAGACCTTGGAGATCGAGTTCAATCATTTTACAGATTAGGAAGTGGGAGCCCAAACAAAGAAAGTGACTTCTCAAAGTCACAAGAGTAATGAATGATAGAGCCAGGATTTGAACCCAAGTTTTCTGACTCCCAGTACAGTATACTTTCCATTGCACCAAGATGCTACTTAGGGAATGAGCTCAAAGTGAAACAACCCTATGAATGAGGGATGCATAAACCCGGACAACGAATAGACAGGCAGGTCGAGGCACAGAATAAATTGCAAGGGTAGTACACACTTCTTGGTTTAATCTCTCCAGGGCAAACAAGACAGATCTCTTTCCACACTGAGTCCCCTTCCCTCCTTCAGCTCTAATGCTGTATTCCCACATCCTATGAACTAGGGCAAGAGGAACGGCTAGTCCAGGGGGCCAGGCAGCAAGGGGCTCCCTTGGGCCTGCCCCAGGAGGAACCCCTGGGCCTAGGCTGTCCCTCCACCATGCTACTCTGTTCAGTGTCACAGATTCCAATCCATCACAGCTCATGCTGGGACAAGGGCAGATAGACCACTTTGGGACTTCCAGTTCTTAACAACCCTGGAAAGGAGAAGACAAGATGGGCTGACTCTTGCCCTCCCAAAGCCAGGGAAATGTGTGCATGTGCGTACGTGTGTGTGCATGCACACGCATGTGTGCGTGTGTGTGTGTGTGTGTGTGTGTGTGTGTGTGTGTGTGTGTGTGTGTGTGTGTGTAGGGGTAGAATGTGTGGGGAGAGGTTCTAATCCAGGTTTGTGAGGTCTTTCTGGTGAAGTGTAAGCAAGGGATTCCTCCAGTAGCAGAACTGGCTATACTCTGGATTGACCAGCTCCACGCTGGGCCCCACTTTTACAGGTGGAAAGATGAGCTCCACGTTCTCCTGGAGCCGGTCATACCTAAGGGTGGTAAAAGAGAATGAGAAGTGAGGACTGGCCCCAAATCTAGGGAGATGCTCTCTGGCTTCACCAAATCTTTTCTCAGCTGGAATAGGACAGTGACAGGACCTGTGATTTCATCGGAAGATGGTTCTCATGAGGGAGGAAGCACCCTCTGCCAATGCAGGTTGGTACTTCTTCTGCCATTTATAATCTGAGAGGTGCCCCAAGCACTGAGAGGACAGAAGACTTGCCCAGGACCCTCTAGCCAGCCTTTGTGAGCACTGGGACTTGAACTCAGGTCTTCCTGGCTTTGAGGCCCGCTATACCACTATACCACAATGGCTTCTCCGCTGAGTTGGCATTTGTAGAACGAGTTACAGTTTGTAGCATACTCTACACCCATTACCTTGGATACGTCGACCAAGCAACCCGTGTTGTTGATTCCAGGCCTCTCAGACAGTGGGCATCTCTATTTACCGTGGCTTCGGAGACAGGGCAGCATGGAGGTGGTAGAAATGAGAAGCCCTGGGAGGCTGACACTAGCCCAAACCAATTTCTTTTTTCTTTTCTTTTTTTTAACCTAGTCTAACTTAGTACAAGCGTTCTCATGTGGGATCAAAGAAGAGATCAGAGGCAACACCACAGTAACAGCTGACGTTTATATAGTGCCTCCCATGTGCCGGGCACTGTGCCAAGCACTTTACACTTTCTTTTCTCATTTGATCCTCACAACGACCTTGCAAGGTAGGTGCTATTATTATCCCATTTTACAAGCGAGGCAAGTAGAGGTTAAATGACTTGCCCAGCATCACACAGCTAGTAAGTGTCTGAGGCTGGATTTGATCTCAGGTCTTCCCGAGTCCAGGCCCAGTGATCTAGCTGCCACAGTACAAAGAATGCTGGCTCTGGAGTCAGAGGAGCTGGGGTTCAAATTCCAGCTCTAAAACTTGCTCCCTGTGTGACCTCAAGCAAGTTCTTTAAGCTCCATGTGCCTCAGTTTCTCCATCCATTAAATGAGGGGGATGGACTAGGTAGGTGGCTCTGATTTGAGAGGGATACTTACGTGGTCTTGCGGTTCTTGATAAGTTCCTGAGTGAGCTCTCCTCGGGGGTTGACAGTGAAGATTCGGGATTTGGGTATCCCTACATGAAGATAAGCATAGACATCCTGGAGAAGAGCAGGGAGAAGTTGGAGAGGAGGGAAGGAGGGGACTAGTCTGGCCCACCTCGGCCCAGCCCAGCTGTCCTCAGCCCACCCTGGCCTGGCCTGGTCTGGCCTGGCCCAGCCCAGCCTGGCTCGGCCCACTTCAGCCAGGCCTAGCTCAGAAGGTGGAGAGAAGACACACTCACAGAGGCACGGTTCCCAAAGCCAGCAAAGAAGGGATCTCCATGGGGCAGGAATAGGTGATGGATGTCAGTCAGGCATGCCATCTTGAACACCTCGGGCTTCTTTTCAATCACCTCCCTGGGGAGACCAATGAGCAGAGACAGTAAGAGTAGCTGATCCACCTACAGACATAGGTCCTATAGGGGTTATTACCCCCATTTTACAGAAGAGGAAAATGAGGATCAGGCTTCAAAAGCTAACAACTAACAAATGTAAGAGGTGAGATTTGAATCCAGGTCTGTCCTAACTTTAAGTGCAGTGCTGTATAGCAGACCAGGGTCTTTAGCCCTCTCCCAGGGAGCTGAGGGAAAATACCAAGAGGTAGACATGATGCAGTGGGAGGAGCTTGTGACGTGGAGCCTGGGGACCCAGGTTCAGATTCTTGCTGGTTGTATGACAATGGGCACGATGCCTCTCTTGGACAGTTTCCTTGTCTATAAAGCTGGGACAATATTTATACTACCAAAACGATAGCAAAAGCACGTTATAAACCTTAAGGTTGAATGGTAGTAGTGATGGTGTTGATGGAAATTGGAGAATGGGAAGGACGCAAACAACTAAAGCTCTCTGGATCCTGTTTCAGACAGTGAGAAACTTCCACATATAGTCCATCGCCCCCAGAAGCAACATCTTACATAAGCCTTGACTTCACCCCACAGGCATCAGGAATCTTCTCGTGGGTTACGACTTCCTTAGCCAACAGGCCCAAGCTCCAGGGTGCCCAGGATAAGGGATAGAGACCACCCAATGTCATTTCGACCTGTGCTGGCATGTTGTAAGCACTTAATAAACACTTTTTGATTGGTTGATTCCAGGGGCATAATAAACTAATGAATTTGGATAGGGAGAAGGGCTACATTTTACCTGTGAAGGGCAGAGAAGAGGCTGCTGGGGGTCAAGAGGAGGGGGCCTTTGGGGAGAACACAGCCCTTCTCATTCACCCACCGCAGGTAGCGCTTAGTGAGGTCCGCCATGCCAATGGATCGGGCTGAGCAATAAAGGAATTTGTACCCGTTTCTGGAGAGAGACCACAGAACCTGTTACAGATCCTCCCGATGACCACCAGAATCAGCTTTCCCAGTTAATCCTGCCAGGAGGGCAGACACTACCCAGCAGGGGAATTCTGCCCCGAGACAATGGCAGGTACCGGTGTCCAGAGTTAACGCTCCTCTTTCCTACCCTCTAGAGACACTATGAGAGTAGGAGATACTCTGGGCAGGACTTCCCAGCTTCTGGGATGCTGCCTTCAACATCACCAAGGGTACACTCCAGGAAAGAGGCTCAGCTCCAGAGGGAAAGGTCAGAAAGGCCTTAAGGTGCTCTGAACCTTTGTGACCCACTCTCCCCGAGGAACAGGCAAAGATGTAGGCCAGTGTCAGCCTGCCACACCTGTCCCTTCTCTTCACCTTGAAAGCAGGGATTGTCTTGTTTTTCTATCTATATCCCCAGCACTTCTAACAGTGCTTCGCACATAGCAAGTGCTTAATAAATGCTTTTTTTTTCATTCATTCATTCACTCATATTCATTCATTCATTCACACCCAGAGGGGCCAGAACATAAGTCAATGTAGGGAAAAAGCAAAATAAAGCTGTGGCCCAGGTCGCAGAATAGTTAGGGGGACCTACAACTATTTCACCTGAAGAAGGATGGCTGAAGAGGCACCGATGCAAAGTCCTGAGTGCTATGAGGGGACCCAGCATGAGTGAGAGGAACAATTGTTCTCCGAACTCGTGATGAATAGGCTAAGAATAAATGGCATCCTACTGTAGCAGAAGGGACTGAAGAAACTTACGGATAATAGAAACCCACATAGATAATAGAAACATGCATTTCCCAAGAATTTGCTCTGGGTTTTAAAGAAAACCTGCAAGGGTTTCAGAAAAGAGGGAGAGATTAGACCTTGAGATCTCTTCTAACCATCAGTTCATAAATTTCTTTTCTCCCTTCTTTGGTGGTGTTGGAAGGACTGAATTAAAATGGTTGTTACGGACTTTAGGGGCTTCCCAAGGGGCCTGGGTGAACCCATGGCCTGTTACTTTCACTGGCTACAAGGAGGAAGGGGCATGTTGGAGGTGCTGGGTACGCTGTCTGAAGAAACTCCCTGTCACCCTGCCATGATCAAGTTGTCCCTCTCTGAAGGTAAACCACCATGCCACCCTAGCTTCTTCTCAGCCCTTGAGGTCAGAACTGAGCTACTAAGAAAAAATACCAGGGGAAGTCTCAGTCCCCACTGAATTATGCCCTGGTTTTCTCTCTAGTGGCAGACACTGCCATCCTGTGGTAAATCTGGTCTGCTGCCTACCTCCCTCTCCTCCATCCCTACCCACCCCTCCATGACACCCACTCATTCTCCTAGTCAATCCTGCAGGGACAGCAGATGAAGTGAGCTCTGGGGCCCTGAACAGAAAGTATGCCTGGAGTCAAAGGCATTGCCACCAGTAGCAATGCCCTCTGTTCCTTCAGACACTCCAGAGACACTGTTAAGAGCTGGAGATGCTGAAGGCAACATCACTGGAGGCACAATCCATGAGGTGCTGGTGTCGTTTCAGCTGAAGGCTTTGGGGACACCCCCTCCCCTCTCACTTAGCCTTTCCAGTTAAGGAATTGCTAAAGATCAGTGCCTGGCATGGAGCCTGGAAGCCCTGACGGCCGGTGTAGTGGGCACTCATTCCTAGGCAGGGAAGGAAAGCAGACCTGAGCCCCTTCCCTCCTCAAGCAGGAATCTGCCACAAGACAGCCCCAGCCTTCCAGAAACACTCACAGGTGAATTTTGTGGTAAAGTTTGATGATGCCCTGGTGAGTCCAGTCTTTCCCCAGTCGGGGCAAAATGTGACCCAAAGCATCGGACCTGGGAGAAAGAGAAGAAATCAGGCTGATGGAGACAGGTCGGGCCCGGTACCGGCACTTCAGGGCAATAGTTAAAAATGACTAGGTTGATTTAGCACTTTCTTCACAACAACCTTATGAGGTAGGTAACTACAAGTGTCCCATTTTACAGATGAGTTAACTAAGGCTCACAGAAAGTGACTTGCTCATGATCACATAGCCAGCAGGTGTCAGAAACGGGATTTGGCCCTAGGTTTCTTCTGACTCCAAGTGCAATGGTCTTTCCACTACCCTGGGCTGTCTCTTTTTGAACATGCTTCCAAAAATTCAACTGTGAAGGGGACAAGAGAGCAGGGGGATGACAGAGAGGGAGGCAGATTGGGAAAGGGGGTAATCAGAAGCAAATACTTCTGAGGAGGGACAGGGTCAAAAGAAAGAATAGAATAAATGGGGGGGCACGATAGGATTAAGGGAAATAGAGTTAGCATTTCACAACATGTCTACTACGGAAGTGTTTTGCATAACTGCACATGTATAACCTATATTGAGTTGCTTGCCTTTTCAATGAGGGTGGGTGGGGAGGGAGGAAGGGAGAAAATTTGGGACCCAAAGTTTTAAAAACACGTGTTTAAAAAAAATGTTTTCACATGCAACTGGGAAATAAGAAATACAGGAAATGGGGTACAGAAGTCTATCCTGCCTTACAGGAAAATAGAAGGGGAAGGGGATAAGAGAAGGGGGGGAGAGATAGAAGAGAGGGCAGACTAGGGGAAGGGATATTCAGAATGCATGCCATCTTGGGGTGGGGGGAGGGGCGAGATGGGGTGAAAATTTGGAACTCAAAATCTTGTGGAAGGAAATGTTGAAAACTAAAAATTAACAAATTTATGTAAGACAAACAAACAAATAAATAAAAGCCTAGACCTGTAAAAATAAAAAATAAAAAACTCAATGGTGATCATTGGATAGGAGTCCAGCTCCCAGAACAGTATGATTCTGAGTGAACAAATGAATGAAAAAGTATTTACTAAGCACTCACCGTGTGCCAAGCACGAGGTTAAGTGCTCATGATACAAATGCAAAAACTGAGGGAGACAAGAGCAAATCCAAACCTTTAGATCAGGGGTCCACAAATTGTGGCCTGCAGGCCAAATCTGGTCCACTGTCTTACCACCCAGAGGAGCTAAGAATGGATTTTTTTACATTTTAAAGCACAATCACACTTTATCTAAAAATGAAAATAAAGACATAGCTTGTGCGCCAGGCAGAGGCAGGCAGCTGGCCACAGTGTGCTAACCCACGCTTTGGATCATCCCGTTCATTGAGCAAAGGGAGCTTGCTGGAGCAGATGGGTTGCTGGGCTTAGAGTTAGGAAGAGCCTAACCTCTCATTCCACCTCAGACACTTAGTGGCTGGGTGACCATGGTTAAGTCACTTACACTGTCTGAGCCTCAGCTTCCTTAGCAGTAAAATGGGGGTAATAATAGCAGATCATATATGTCAAACACTTTGCAAACTTTAAGTTCATAATGTAGATGTGAGTTATTATAATCATTATTATCATCCATCTTTCCTTCAAGGAGCTCTAGTCAGCTATGTAGGAGGAAGGCAGTGCCACAGTCATTTCATTTTTTAAGCATGACAGTACCCAGTCACCTTGGCCTGCTTCCCCAGGCCTCTTTCACTCTATCCTTAACCCTTCAAGCAGGATTTGGAAAGCCTTTAACTATTTGGAAGCACAATTCCCCTTGAAACCCACCCCTCCCTCCTCCCACTCCCATACCTCCCCCCTTCCCTACTTTTCTTGCTATGTTTCTTACTTGGTGATGGTCCCATCGATGTCTGAGATCACCACCTTGTCGTACCAGTTCCACAGGTAGATGTTGGCATGGCAACGGCAGGTGCCCTGGTACTGAGTGGTCACACTAAACATCACATCATTGGCTCCCTCCCTCAGGTTTAAGTCTCGCTGGACAGTCCAAGGGAACCAGGGTAGAGTCAAAGGCAGCTCCAGAGAGACCCAATCCCTCTCCAGTTGGAGAGCTTTAGCCTACCTGGCCTCCTGCCTCCCTCTACCAGCCTCTGGACTACTGTTATGAGTTCTCTTCCTCTCTTCTTTCTTTAAAAAAATTGTTTTAAATTGAGGCTCTTTCAAGAGCATCATTGTTACTTCCTGATGACTGTTCACCCCCAAAGAGAACCCTCCTGCGTGACAAAGCACAGGTAAGCAAAATAAATCAATGTGTTGGCTACATCTGCCTCAATCTCCACCCACAGTCCATCATTTTTCTGATGAGAAGCATACTCCTCCTCTTTCCCCCCCCCTCAAAGGCCCTCCTCCCCAACCCAGAGCCTGGCAAAGGTCAGACACAGAGATAAAGAGATGCAGACCCAGCCAGTTGGGAGCGCCCACCCACTCTATGCAATAGATCTCTATATGTTCTCTCTAGTCCCTCCCTACCCCTATGCCAATACCCAATAGAATTTACATAACAAATGTCCGTGTATGAGTAAGCATTCAGGGCCACTTCTTATCATAGGTATCATTGGGTGATTGGAGATCTTTCCATTAGAATGGGATACATTTTGATAAAGGCTGAAGGAACCTTCTCCAAGCAGTAGACTACTCTGCATAGCCTTGTCTCCAGGGAGAGGTGAGAAGGGAATCCAGGGACAGAGGCTGTAGTTATGAGACCCAATACATAACCAGCCCAGCTTGGCCACAGAGCTATATTCTTTATAAGGCAGACCCAAGGAGATATCATACAAAGAGTCATCCTAAATGCCCATCCCATAAGGCAGCATTACAACTTAGCACAGAAGACAGGGCTTAATGAGGCCCCAGAGTATTTTTTAAGGCTACCCACCTCTGCCTGGACCTCTTTTCCCCAAATTCCCTCCCTCCCATTCCTGAAACATGAACACTTTCCTGGACCCAGCCAAAGGCAGGAATGGCCCAACCCTCCAAACCTTGAACTTACAATCTGATCAGAGGAGAGACGAAGGGACTTCTTGAAGGTATGGATATGACTTTGAGGTGGGGGAGAAGGGGCACCCAAGATCACCAGGGAGTCATCTTCAACAGATGAAATATCCATCTTCTGCCTGCAGGGAATCCAGGCCTCTAAGGTCCCTCCTCCTCCCAAGGCTTACCAATAGGAAGACCCACTTCCACCCATCAAATGACAATCCCACCGAGAGCAAGTTCATCAAGTAACCTGGGAAAAAGCAATCGATCAGGCTCTCATGATCAGTCCTTCCCTTCTCTCTCGCACCCGGTTTCAGCTTTACCTCCTCCAGGCACGGCTCATCACCAAGAAACTCCTCATCATAGAGATTGCTCCCACTTTGGTACCCACACTTCATGAGTACCCTCAGTTTCTTCTGCCCCTCCTATTGGAGGACTGAACAAAAAACTCCTCTCAAAGCCTTCCTTTAAAGAGAACCCAGAAGCCTGGCCAACTCTTTGTGACTCTAACCCCTGCTGATTGTCTGGTTTTAACTATACAACCATCATCATGACCCCACACATGGGTAACCTTTCCACACACACCCCCGAGCCTTTCAGCTTCCTTTTGTGTGTTGTCTGACCACCTTTTTCTTATTTGTATCCCTAGCACCTACTACCATGCCTGGCACACAGTAGCCACTTCAAGAATAAATGTATGACATATTGTATTGTATTAATCTGCATCAGATTTGTAGTCAGAGGACCTGGATTCAAATCCTGACTCTGCAACCCACTACCTGAGCAACCTTAGCTGCTCTTTTAATAGGACAAAGCAATTAGATTAGATGATCTCTAAGATCCTTTTTGGAGACTAGAGATATAAATTGGGGAGCTCCCCACGAAGAAACCCTCTCTACCAATGTAAATCTGCAATAAAGTCTTAGAGAAGGGGCTCTTAACCTGGGATCTGTGAATCTAACTAAAAAAAAACATTTTGATAACTATTTCAATGTAATTGATTTCCTTTGTAATACTGTTTCTTTTATTTTATGCATTTAAAAACTATTCTGAGAAGGATTCTCTAGGTTTCTTTAGACTGCTGAAGGGGGTCCATAGCACAAAAACAGGTTAAAAAGTCTTGCCTATGGTAGTGACAAGTGAAGGGATTTGACCAGATGTGGTAGAGGCCAGGGTATGTTGGAGATAAGACTTAAATCCAGTTCTTTCTGACTTCAAGGTCAGTTCTCTGTTCACTTTTCAAGAAGACTATTATACTTAGAACCAGGGATGTATTGTAAATGCTTAACAAACAGCTCTTGGGCAGGGGGAGGAGAGGAGTGTACCTATAAACACACAAGTTTAATTTGCATTGCCAACATTTTCTGCATGCTTTGAGTCTAGGCAATCAATGAAACAATAAATCAAACCTTGATTTATAGCACTTGCTGGTTACAGAGATGTGAATGCGCTCACTGAGAATTTAACAGTCAGATGCCAGGATGCACTGGCCCTAGCACTGGCCCTAGCACACCTCTACAATTACTCCTCTGAGGCAACCCACTACATTTTGGTGAGCTTTAACTTTTAGGAAATTTTCCATTTGTTGTTGTTGTTCAGTCATTTTTCAGTTGTGTGTGACTCTTTGTGAACCCATTTGGGGTTTTCTTGGCAAAGATATTGGACTGGGTTGCCATTTCCTTCTCTGGCTCATTTTTACAGATGAGGAAACTGAGGAAAACAGGGTTAACATGACTTGCCCAGGGTCACACAGCTCGTAAATATCTGAGGCTGTATTTGAACTCAGAAAGATGAGCCTTCCTGACTTCAGGCCTCGTCCTCTATCCATTATGCCACCTAGCTGCCCATCAAACCTAAATTTGCTTCTTTGTGACTTCCACCTATGGCTCCTGGTTATGGAGGACAATGTTCTCCTGAAGATACCTTGAAGCCTCTCTCCTCATTGTCCCCCAAAATCCCTAGTGTCCCCTTTCTTCTTAATATATATCGGGACCAACCCTAACCCGGGAAGTTCTTCCTAGTATGTAACCTAAGTCTCATCTGCTTCCATTTCTTTGGTGTAAATGGAAAATAAATGATTATACCTCTTTATCCAATAGTGTGTGTTCTAAGTCCACTCAAAGTACATAGAAAAGACTATGACTTGAGGACTTATCTGGGCATGGTTGAAGGTACTCAGGCTTTGAGAAAGAGTCTAGATTCACTGGGCCTGGGGGCAGATTCTATCCCACAAGGCAATTCGTGCCAGGTATTGCTTTTCCCAGAGGGTGCAGGCTTTGAAGTACCAACACTGTAAGGTTGAGCCAGTGTGACAGAAAAAGCTTTAAGCTGAGATTCAAAGGTTCTGGTCCTATATTTGTCACTTCCCTACCCTGTGAGGAAGCTAATCACTTCCTCAGTGGGAACAGTCCTGCAGGTGACACCAGGTAAGGATTTCACTTAGTGAAATCCCTGTGAAGATTTCATGAGACAGTAAGAATACCTTGGAGAAACAAAAAAGTGTGAAATGGATGAAACACTGGGGTTGGAATCCTGGATTTGAATATTGTCTCTGACTGTGATTAGCCAATTTAATCTGTTGGGGTGCCCACAGACACTCTTTAAGACTTTAACGCCCTTCCTGGGGGCCTGACCAAGATAACTTACTCCTGCTGGGGGGAATTCTTCTTTGAAGTAGATGCCACCTCCTGGACTTCACACTGCAGAGGAAAAGTTTTCCTGTGAGCCCCTTTGTTAAAAGGAAAGATCCTGTCCCTGAGGCCAATCCTACCTCCCGTAGGTCTGGGCCCTTCTAAAAGGGCAAATGGAGACCAGACCTTCAATCCCAGCGGCCTTCCAAGAAGTGATCACCTACCTCCTTGGTAGTCGCGTCCTTTAGCCCCCAGGAGAACCACCAGTGGCCAGTCTTCTTGGGCATTTTCTCCTTCACCAGCTTGTCAATAGTGCTCTGAATGCCAGACAAGATCAGGAAGGACACAGTGGACAGTATGTCGACCAAAGGAGCCTCAAAGACAGGCCTCTTCGGGGAATAATCTCTCAAACAAATGGCATGCATCTCACCCACAATGAAAAGCCTTTCTGGCCAAGTTCTCTGAAGCACCTCTCTGAGCTCTCAGGAGAGATTACCTTGTCAGGGGTGTTTGGGACTTACTCCAGAGGATACTGCTTATATTTCTCAAGATCCAAAGCCTGAGTGCAGACATTGCCCCTCTAACTCAGGGAACTGATTAACCACAGCATTCGTTGGCCTAGGCCTCATGGTGGGTTAAAGAAACATCAGTAACAGAATAGAAATGAGATGGTGAATGCTTGCTGAATAAATGGATGGAAGAAGGGGCCCTTCCTCCCACCCAACTGGTCAGAACACCTCCCAATAACAAGAGAGGTGGCACTTTAGGGGAGATGGCAGGACTTTCAAGGATAAGGTTCTTCCTATACAATGTCACCAAGTGTCTGAGAGAAGGGTTAACAGGAATTGCTATCCTTCCTTCTGACCCATCCCCCTTCCAAACTTCCCCAAGAAAACTATGGATGACTTCCAAGGCCACTGTCCTCAGTCCCCAGGATAAGGTCATCTGGACCAGTGTCTCTGTGAGCAGTTTCCTAGGAAGCACAGAAGGAGAAGGGATAGGCAGACAAATCAGGAAGGGACCTGAATTGATTTGAAGGACTTGGAAATTCTCCGTTCTGGGATTCAGAATCAGCCCCAATTTGGAGCTTTATCCCTTCTTGGCTAAACCCATAGGAAGCCTACAGTTTTACAACAGAGTTTCCCACCAGTCACCCTTCTCCTTGCTTTCCCCCCTCCCCAAGCTCTCTATTGCATCACCCAAATCCTCCCTATCACCAGAACAGGAAAGCTAGACAGAGAGGGAGTTCTGCTCCATTACCGTGGGCAAACTCTTCTGAAAGGCCTGCAGGGACAGGATCATCGGTGCAGCTACAGCCCAATTGTAGTGCCTAGAAAGAGGGAGCAGGGAGGAGAAGTAACCTCTCAGGAAGAATGGCTAAAAAGGCAAAGCCAGGCTATTTACGGCCTTGAGGCTGAAGGCCCCAATGAGGCTCAGGGCTGGAGCTTTCCATCCAGAAAAGGACCCAGAAAAGTTTTCACATGTAATAATAATAATAATAATAATAATAATAATAATAGCCCCTCTCTCAAAGCCCAACCAAACATCCATGCTGTGTGTGTGTTGTGTGATGTACTGCAGAAACTTTGTTTCTTGATACCATTAGCTGTGAAGGTATGGCAGGAACCCTAAAATGCTGGTGAGCTGGGCTCTGATAAGACCTCCAACAGCATAAGAATCCCAGACAGTGTGATGGAACTCCTCCCAAGAGTCAAAGAAATAGATGGGGCAATAGAGAATTATAGGTTGTTCTTCTCAAAACCATCATAACACAGAAAAGAGTGCAAGTGACTCTCAACGTTTTGGTATCACAAGAAGGCAAGATATATCAGAACAAACCAAAAATACCAATACCTTACCTGATGGAAATGCTTCAGGACAATTGATGCTGAACGCTAAAATAGGTAATCCATGAGTACCCAAGAAATGAACTGAAAGTATAAACACTTTCTTTATGCCCCAGAATCATCTTCTAACAAAATTGGAAGCAGATCTCACAGTTATAGGCAAGGGTCTCATAATATTTGTCAATTATATTCTCACATGACAATGTATAGCTGAATAGCACAGGACAATTAAAAAACAAATTTCATCCCTAAGCCCACATCAGATGAAATAAGAAATGAAATCAAGGGGCTGCTAAAATCTGAAGAAGGAAAAGTTGAGGACCCTGGAGGTCATAGAAAATCTTTACTTTTTAATGCAAGCTCCAGAAATCCTACTTCATAATGAGAAAGATGACAAAAACAGTACCGAAGTCTCCAAAGTCTCCAATTGAAAACGAGATGGCCACACTTGAGACTGGAACTCTGGAAGGTTCTCTTTGAGCTTGATGGCATGAATCCAACTGGTAGACCAATTATACCAAAACAGAGTAATAAAAAGCCAGTTTCTGCTTTAACCATTATGAGCAAACATATTTCCCCACAGCGTTTGACAGAAAAGTATAAAAACCATTTCAGAACCTGCAAACAGTGGTATATGCAGCAGCTGTTGCCATGGTAGGAAAGGTGGAGCTATAAAGGAATTCCTCCACCACCACCTCCCACCCCAGGCCACCATAGTAGAAGTAACTTGAGAAAACTATTGAAGATCTGTGGAAAGGCATTGAAAGATCTAACCGGTATGGACAGTAGAACACTTAAACATCATGTCACACAGTTAAAGGCAACAAAAGGTAACATACACAAGTGAACAAGAAAAAGAAAAGCATATCAGAAATTCTAGACTCCCTTAATCAGCAACTGAGGGCCAAAGGTAAAAGGTCGTGATATAAGGAGTCGAAGCAGCACAAAGAACAAATTTAGTAGTTCAATATCAACTAAAAACTACTCCTGAGGCTTAAGAAATAAAGACATCGTAGGTGGGAAAGAACACCCAAAGAAAGAGGATGTGAAAAAATTCTGGTCATCTTCATGGTTGCAAGATGGGAACTAAACAAAGCCCCATCATTCCTTCCAGATGTACACAGAGCCTGGTCTTGACACAAAGACTCAATTAAGGAAATAAGGCTGGAAAAAATGAGAAGGCGCATTAAAAAGAAATTATGGCTCCAAGGATGTACAAGACAGACCCAGAAGAAGAGAAAAACTCTACAACATCTACGAGCAAATTCTCTAACAAAAATACCACTTTGCCACAAAGTCTAGAATTCCTGGAAGAAATCAAGCAAAATGTTCTAAAATGACATTACAAATTAAATAAAAGCTCTAGGGGAAGGAATTGGAAGAAGAATAAATAGCTCTGTACAGTGCCCAAAGAATATATTTCCTGGAAAATTAGAATAGATCAAACAGAAATCAAAGAATCTATGACAACAAGAAACATCAGAACACAAACCAAAAGCCTTAAAAGAGAGAGAGAGAGAGAATTACCACACCAAATTAAAAGTCGAACTAAAATACCTTATTAACCACTTGATATATATATATATATATATATATATGAAAAATATCAAGCTATAGTTGCTCCTAAAAACAAATTAAACAGTTTCATTTCATGGAATCTTTCTCTAATGTTTTCAAAATACTCTCTTGGATCAATAAGGGTAAGATTCTGAACATATACCAAGAAAGGGTAGAGCCTGAAGACCTCAAGCTTGAATCACAAGATTACATGGAAACAATGGATAAAAACATATCTAGAAATACTCTGATCTCCTTCAGGCAAGACAAATGAAGCATAATGATTTCAAGGCTGTGGTTTAATAAGCTGAAACAGGCATTCTAAAATCAAAGATAAATAGGAAGAATGCACTTAAAGCAATGAACACCTGTTCAATATTAGCTTTCAAAGTTGTAAAATGGATTGTAATCATTTTGGAACGTACCCTAAACAGCCACCCTCCTGAAATAATAATAAAACATAAAGCCCATCACCCTAAGGTGGTTATAGAAAGATCGAAAACTACTCAAAAGGAGAAAGAAACTTGATAAACAAAACATTCTTAGAGTACATGACAGAAAGACTTTTAAAATAAGCAGACATTACTTCACCAAACAATTCTAGAGACCAGATGAGAAGTACATGGCTTTAGACTACTGGATGGAGTTTATGAAATGACAAAGATTTAAGAATGGAATCCAAAAGACTCTCCTCAATTGATATCACAAGAACTCAGTCAACAATATAAGGACAAGTTATACATGTTTGTTTGTGCAAATAGAAGTGTTTGTGATGGGTATTCAGGATCATTGCCCAAAAATACTGAAGGGAGATCCTTAAGGCTTCCAGACTTAGTGATCAATGCATACTATGCAAGGAAATGGTGGCGAAAATACAAGATATCACTGCAGGCTGTGAAAATTTAGCACCTACAAAATACCTAACAAGACATGACCTGGTGGCCAAAATTATGCAGATATTTACATATATTTCAAAATTGATTAGAAAATTTAACTAAGATTCATAAAAACTTAACAACATTTTTAATAGATGTTGCTATCTCAAATACTTATAAGATTTCAGTGTTCAGAGACCTGACTGAAACAAAATCTTTTGGACTAAGGGTGAGGTGCATTCTATCCCTGTCATCTTATAAGCTGTTGGAGATGTCCTAAGGATGCTGTCAGTAAGCCTAGCTTACATTCCAATATTGTTATTCAACTGCAGAAAGCAGCTATTCTGTCCACTTGGGCAACAGTCCACAGAATTAGATAATAATGCTGGTAATAATAATAATAGTAGATCCCAGTACTCTTACTCCATCGACCAGTAAAATAGTCTGCAGAAAATTAAACATAAAAGAATCATAGTAGGAAAGAAAATTGCCCTAGGATGGGTTCTATCTGAACCCTGATCAAAAAAGATGAAAAAAATGATATAACAATGACAGCTAATTATAGTAACAATACCACCTGACATTTAAATTGTCCTTTAAGGTTTACAGATCACTTTACTCTCATGGTCTTTTATGAGTCTTACCACAATCTTGTCAGGTAATTGCTACAGGTATTATCTCTATTTTGCATATGTGGAAACTGAGGTTAAATGACTTATCCAGGGTCCATAGGTACCAACCAAGGCAGGATTCAAACCCAGGTCTTTCTGACTCCAAGTGCAGCTCTAGTTTTTGCTATTTGTTGTTCAAAGCCCTTCATAACCTGGCCCCCTAATCTTCTTACACCTCCCCCATTCCTCCTCTTTCTTACTCTTTAGTCCAATGACCCTGGCCTCCTGGCTGTTCCTCAAAAAAGACCTCCATCTTCTGACTCCAGGAATTTTTTCTGGCTGTCCCTCATATCTGGAATGCTCTCTCTCCTCATCTCCACCTCTTAGTTTCCTTCAAGTACCAGCTTAAATATAAAAAGCCTTTCCCAATCCCCCTTAATTCTAGTGCCCTCTCTCAGTTGATTAGCCCCAATTTATCCTGCCTGTAGCTTGTTTGTACGTCATTATATTCCGTCTCTCCTCTTAGACTGTGAACTGCTTGAGAACAGGACTGTCTTTTGCTTTTCTTTGTATCTACAGCTATCAGCACCATGCCAGGTACCCAGCAGGTGCTTAATAAATGTTTTATGACTGGCCAATCACTGGACTTTAAGAAACATCTAATTGCTCACTGTTTTCTCTCAATCTAATTGCCTGTCCCCTGACCAGTACGATGGCGGGGAGCAAGATCAGTATCAAGGGCCTGAGATGCTGCAGCAGCAATAGCAGAATCAGGTCCAATGTGGAAATATCTCCAGAAGTTCAGTCCCAGGCTTGCCATCTTCCTCTCCTTCCCAGGACTTTAATAGCCATGTAGATGCTCCCTCATACTCTTTAAATCCAGCCACATTGGGATCATTTACACAGCATATTTCACATTTTTAAGGTTTTTACCTTTTAAAAAAATTGCCTTTTCAGGTTTAGAAGTATCATCTACTCCCATTTTACAGATGAGAAAATTGAGGCACAGAGAGGCTAGGTAGTTGTTTCCTAGGGTCACACAGCTAGTATTAAGAGCTGAGACTGGAACCCTGGTCTCCTGCCTCTGTAGTCTAATAGGCAGCCTGCTGGGCTCAGGGACTCAGGGGCAGGCAGCTCCAAGAATTCAGGCAGCCAGGTCCCAGGGGGAGCTATTTAGGGTGAGTTGGCATCTCTCATGCTCAGGATTTCCTTGTGTGTTTCAGTTTATGGGGTCTCAGGGATTGTTTGGAACCAAGTAAGAATTTCACATATAAAATACAGAGTGTGAACAGCAGATGTGGATATAACTTAGCTGAACAGTGATGGAAAGGACAGGCCGGCCAGCTCTGGCAGCTGAACAAGCCAAAGGTACCCAGAGTCAGAGCTTTAGGTCCAAAACTAGGCCTCCCTTCTTCCCAGAGATGGGGGTGGGGGAGGAGCTACGAAGGTGGAATATTACGCACTGTCAGACACAGCTGATATATTGGTTGGTTTTGCTGAACTTTTCTTATCTCTTCTACAAAGGATATCTTGCCTAGGCTAGGCAGAGTGGAGCTGGGGAGAGAGGGATGTATTTAGAAATGAATATGATGGAAAAAAGAAAGTTATCAAGAAAAAAACTGTTTTGGGAGAGGGACCTGGGAGATCCTGCAATAGGCTCACCTTTCAGAATAGGCTCCTGCCCTGGTTTCCTGGGCCAGGATGCATGTGTCTGGTTGTTGAATTAATTGCTAAATTCACAGGAGCTTTTTTTATGATTGCATATTTTCTTAATCAAAGAAATGAGAGCGCAGTGTAGTGGAGAGAGGGCCGGTCTTAGATTCAGGGAGATCCTGCCTCTGACACAGACCAGTTGTGTAACCCGGGCAAGGCTAACCCTCAATGCTCCCAGGCAACAGAGACTATAAATGAGAGAGGTGCTGCTGATCATCATTGAGGGTGTTTTTCTCTACACGTATAAAATTGCTTTTTTTTTTTTTGTTCAATCCATAGATACTAAGAGCAGAACATCATATGTGAAAGTCTGAAAAAATTTTTGAAAGTTCCTCATTCCCTTATTCCCCCTTCCCCTACCCCCCCCAACACCTTTTACCAATGAGGCAACAGGATTGTAGATGGCATAGACCTGCCCACAAGGTCACAAAGGCAGATAAGTAGTAGAGTCAGGATTTGAATCCAGGCCCTCCAACTCCATATCTAGACCTCCTCCTATTAGTTGCCACTGCTCCTGCATCCCACTCCTAACCACACCAACTCCCCCAGCTTGCTTCATCCTCGCCCTCCTGAGAGTCATCCCCAGCTCCTGCTACATCCATATCTTTTTGTACAGGGTAGGCATCTGATAACCACCCCACTCCTAGTGAACAGAGGTTTCCCCTGGGAAATGGGGGGAGGCAAGAAATAAGCATTTATATAGCACCTCCTATGGGCCACCCACAAACGCAAAGTGCTCTACGAATACTACCTCATTTGATTCTCACAATAATCCTGCAAGATGGGTGCTGTTGTAATCCCCATTTTACAGCTGAGGAAAGTAAGACAAGCAGGGTTAAGTGACTTGCCCCAGATCACACAGCTAGTAAGTGTTTGAGGTCAGATTTGAACTCAAATCTTCCTGACTACAGACCCAGTACTCCACGGAGTCACTTTGCTGCCTCTAAATAGAGAAGGCTCTGAGATGTGCTTGTCCCCAAAGGCACCGTCTGTGTTGCTAATGAGAAAGGGAGATTGAGGATGCTTAGCACTGGTGCTCTAGGTAGAAGATGCCTGAAGTACCTGAAGCTGGCATCCCCTAAACCAAGGGTGGGGGACCTGTGGCCCTCTAGGTCCTCAAGCGTGGCCCTTTGGCAAAGGGCCTAGACCCCTGCTCTAGGCTCTCTGACAGGCAGACCTGAGACAAGATGCTTGAAGAGTAATTAAGCATGTTGTTCAGATTCAAAGCAATGGTTGTCTTCCTGATCTGGGGTCCTGGAAGGATTGAAGACATTTCTGCACACTTCAAGATAAACACCTCCCACCTCAAGCCCACTCCTCACAGGAGACTTACTTCATTCCAATTTTCACCACAAGGTTGGGGTCATCCAAGATTCCTGGGTTGTCAGCGAGATCCTGGTAGCAGATGGCGTATTTGGTAAACTTCTCTACAGGCACGAGGAGGCAAATGAAGATGGGAGAACAAAAACAGATGTGAGAGCACAGAGGACAGGTATGGTGGGGACTGAAGAGGAGGTCACAGAGACAATTAGGCCATTTCTCCCTTATGGCCCAAAGCAGGCACCCTTGAGGCCACATTTGGCCTTCTAGATCCTTACATGCAGCCTTTTGATTTCAGTCTTCAGTCTTCAGGTTCCCCAACCTGGCCCAAAGGGTCCAGTTGGCTGGGGGAGTGAGGACAGCCTTGGTACCCCAGCCACTGGACTGTAGAATGCCATTGACCTTCTTCACATCCCCTGCCCCCACCTCCGCCTTGTGAATGGGGTCCCCTGGTCCTTCTCCTCTGCTCCCCGTGAAAGACTACTATCAGACCCACCTGTTGAGATGTCCCGGTTATCAGCCAGCCCACCACAGAGAGAAAGCTCAATGTCATTCCCCTGCTCCAGGGCAGTATCAGACAACTGATCTGTGTTATTATCTTCCACAACCGTGGCTTGCAAGAGGTTTGTCTCTGAGCAGCAGGGCTCACTCCATCGTCTGGCTTCAAGCCTGGTTTCCCTGAGGTTGGAGGAATAAGCAGTGAGAACTTACTGAGAGGACTGGGAAAGGGCTCCCACCACCAGGGCATTTGGGCCGGTGGAAGAACTATGCTGACTCTCCCAGAGACCCACCCCTTCCCACAAGGTAAATCAAAGGGTACATCTTTACTAAAAACAACTTTCTCCTTTTTTTAAGCTGTTTTATTTTTAATCATTAAATATACGCTTCATCTCCCTCCCACCTTCTCCCCCCACTGTTGAGAGACAAACTTGACCTCACACACTTGTTAGCTGTGTGAGTCTAGGTAAGTCACTTAATTTGCTTGCCTCAGTTTCCTTAACTGTAAAATGAGGATTATATAATAGCATCTTCCTCCCGGGGCTGTTGTGAGGATCAAATGAGATAATACCAAGTCTGACACATAGTAAATACTTAATAAATGCGTCTCTCTTTCATTCCTTCTTTCCCTGTTACAAACATATATAGTTGGGGAAAACAAACTCCCACATTAGCCCTGTCTCTCCCCACCCCATCCCCAAAAGTCTCAGTCTGCACTCTGAATCCATATCTGGCCACTGGACCCAGATGGCTCCTGAGGAGAAAGTGAGGCTGGTGACTTTGTACAGTTCTCCCTCACTTACATCCAATTCACTTGTAAGTCATGGTGTCACCTTCCTGATGCCATGGTCCTGTTTGAGAATGAAGGATGGGGCAGCTAGGTGGCACAGGGGATAGAGCTCCAGCCTTGGAGTCAGGAGGACCTGAGTTCAAAACCTGTCTCAGACTCCTGATACTTACTAGCTGCGTGACCCTGGACAAGTCACTTAGCCTCAATTGCCTTACCAAAGAGAGAGAGAGAGAGAGAGAGAGAGAGAGAGAGAGAGAGAGAGAGAGAGAGAGAGAGAGAGAGAGAGAGAGAGAGAGAGAGAGAGAGAGAGAGAACGAAGGACAAACAATAATCCAGAGGTAAGTAGCAGGTTTCGTCATGAGTCCTTTGGAATTATGGTTGGTAATTTCATAGATCATAGTTTCTAAATCTTTCAAAGTTGTTTGTCTCTACAATGCTGTTGTAATTGTACAAATTGTTCTCCTGGTTCTGCTTATTTCATTATTCATCAGTTCATACAAGTCTTCCTAGGTTTCTCAGAAACCATCCCCTTCATCATTTCTTACAGCACAATCGTATTGCATCACATTCACATTCCTTAACTTGTTCACATTCACATTCCTTAACTTGTTCAATCATTCCTCAATTGAGTAGCACGACTTCAATTTCCAATTCTTTGCCACTACAAAAAGAGTTGCTGTAAGAAATTTTGTACATGAGTCCTTTTCCTCTTCCTGTCATCTCTTTGGGATAGAGATCTAGTAGTGGCATCGATGGATCATTGGCTGAGCGCAGTTTAGTAACTTTTTGGACATAGTTTAAAGGCAGCTTTCCCATGAGCTCCCTGTCCTTCATCCCAGTAGGAGGCCTGGCACCCTTAATCAGCTCACCCCCAGGAATGAGGGAATCTGAAAGCCTTGGGCAGTACCAGAATAAAATAATAATAATACCTAAATTAATTTACTTATCCACTGCCTTACCAACCAAACTACAAAAAGATTACCTTATAGCGTATATAGATATTTATATAGAAAAAAAAAACAAAATTAACCTAGAGGAACAAAAAATAGAGAATCTCAAGGGAAATCATGAAAAAAGAGGGAAGAAAAGGAGCATAGCAGTACCAAATCTCAAACTATACAACAAAGCTGTAATCATCAAAATGACTTGGTACTGATTAGTAAATAGAGGTTCATCAGTGAGATAGATTAGGTCTATATAACATATACAGATAAATGGGAATAATAAATAGCCTAGCATTTGAAACATGAAGACCCCAGCTACTGGGGTAAGTACTCAATATTCAACCAAAACTACTGAGAAAAATGGAAAGCAGTCTCACAGAAACTAGATATAAATCAATATTTCATACTGTATACTCACATAAAGGGGCACAATGACTTAGATGTTCTTTTTTTTTTTTTGGTTAGGCAATGGGGTTAAGTGACTTGTCCAGAGTCACACAGCTGGTAAGTGTTATGTGTCTGAGGCCAGATTTGAACTCAGGTCCTCCTGAATCCAGGGCCGGTGCTCCATCCACTGTGCTACCTAGCTGCCCCTTAGATGTTCTAAACTGTTTAGAGGAACAAAGAAGACATTACCTTTCAGGATCTATGGATAAGGGGAGAGCTCATGACCAAAGAAAAGAGAGGAATGCAGAAGATAAAATGGACAATTTTGACTACATTAAATTAACAAGGTTTTGCACAAGCAAAGCCAATACAGTTAACATTAGAAAGAAAGTGGGTAACTAGGGGAAAAAATCTTTGGAGTAAATTTCTGTGATAAAGATCTCATTTCCGAGATATGTAAGGGACGGATTCAGATTTATGAAAATAAGAGCTATTCCTCAATTGGTCAAAGTTTATAAAGCGACAGTTTTCGGAGGAAGAAATCTAAGCTACCAAAAGCCATACAACAAAATGTTCAAATCACTAATAATTAGAGAAATGCAAATTTAATGCAACTCTGAGGTTCCACCTCACCCCCATCAGATTGGCAAAATTGACAAAAATGGAACATGACAAATTGGAGAGGAATGTTAATACACTATAAGTGGAAATGTTAAGCAAGTCATTTCCTAAAAGTCACTAATGTGCGGCATAGTCTATGACCCAGTGATACCACGACTAAGTCTATAGCACAAAGAGATGAAAGAAAGTGGAAAAAGACCCAAACGTACAAAAATATTGTGCAGCTCTTTTTGTACTGGCAAAGAGCTAAGAAGAGAATACTTGCACAAGTTATGGTCTGTAAATATAATGGAATACTATTTTATGTAAGAAATGATGAAGAGGGGGCAGCTAGGTGGCACAGCAGATAGAGCACTGGCCCTGAAGTCAGGAGGACCAGAGTTCAAATCCGGCCTCAGACACATAACACTCACTAGCTGTGTGACCCTGGGCAAGTCACTTAACCCCAATTGCCTAAAAAAAAAAAAAGAAAGAAAGAAATGAAAGGGACAGATTCAGCAAAACCTGGGAACAGTTGTATGAACTAATACAGAATGAAATGAGCAGAACAATTTATACAAAAACATTGCTGGGGGGAAAAAAAGACTTTGAAAGACTTAAAAACTCTGATTTATGCCATGATTCCAGAGGATTGATGATGAAACATGCTACACATCTCCTGAACAGAGAAGTGATGGGCAAAGTGTGACATACATACATACATACATATATATATATATGTATATATATATATATATACACACATACATATATATATGTATATATATATATACACACATATATATTTGTGTGTGTATATATATATACACACATATATATATTTGTGTGTGTGTATATATATATATATACACACATACATACACACACACACACACACACATATATATATATATATATTTTGGGACACAGTTAATGTGAGAATTAGTTTTGCTTGACTATGCATTATTGTTACAAGAGTTTTCTTTTTCTTTTTTCCAATGTTGGAAGGTGAGAAAAAGAGAAAACAGATTTTTTTATAATTGAAAAAAAATTAAATTTTTAAAAAGATCCTAAAAAAGAGAGAATGGCAAGAACGCCACTACCTTTTGGGGAAGTAAAGGGTAGCATTAGCTGAACTCAGGGAAGGCAAGTCTTCCAGGTAGATATTGCTGGGTCCCAGGTGCTGACTTGTCCTCCGTGGTTCTGAGTGCAGAGAAGGAAGCTTCAGGCCAGGCAGTGCCATTGTGAGCATGAGAAGACAGACTCCATGGCATTAGATAAATTCAGGACCACAAAAACGGCGTATGGGCTGATCATCACTCTGCCTCCTCTCTCCCACCTCCCACTCACCTGCATTTACTCACTATTCTTACCTTTGTTCTCTTGTCTCTGTCCGGAGGGATCAGAGCCCTCCTGAACCGTGGGCTCCTCGGCCAACACAGAGCCAGATGAGGAGCGCCTCCTCCGAGTGTTCTCAGCCATACTTTCTTCATCATCCTGTGCAACGGACTCCTGGGCTGCTGTGAGTTCTCTTGCTGTAAGGTAGAACTTTGTTGCCTCTGAAGCTCTGCCCTCAGCATCCTGGAGGGCAGTCTGAGACTCTGCCAATGTGTGAATGCTAGCCTTCTGGAATATTGGTTCTTTCCAAAGAAGAGGCTTGGTGGATATGTTACTGTGCGATGCCCTCAGCAGTTTTATGTGCTCGCCTTTCATCACCTTCAGGCAAACAAGCAGGAGAGATTAGGCCAGCAGGATCTGAGGTCTGATAAGTCCTGGCCCTGGCCCAAGGGGTGTATGTGGGGAGGGGAGGGGCGTGTTGAGATGGGGTGGGGGTGGAACTAGGCACTTAGGCACAAAATAAAACCCATTAGTTCAGGGATTCTGTTGTCCATCCCCAATCTAGGACACCTCTGAGGGACAGGGATGTGGACTAATGATCTCTCTGATGGTACCCTAGGAAGCCCCACATACCCTCCATCACTGCCCATGACCTCGAGGAGAGGGAGCTGCCTGGAATGAGACCTCTCCACATCCCCTTCTCCCAAAAAAAAGAATGAACAAAGTCAAGCTCCTAGTTGCTGACCTGAGGAAGCTTCCCCCAGGGCCATTGCATGTGGGATGCAGTCCTTGTGGAGTTCTGGTCCGAGGATCTTATCTCCAGCTCAGAGTCACTCTTGAAGCACATTAGATATTCTGAGGACGTACTGCCCAGAAAGCTGCCAACCAAAGGCGTACTCTGGTCTCCTGGCCAAGCTCAGCTCCTTCTCTCCCTTCTGCTTGTTCATGACCTCTAACTCAGCTCTGCTGCCACCCCAATGCAATCTGGACCGTAGCTACCACAGTCCAGCACTGAACTTCTCTCTGGGAGTGGCTTCATGAATCTCAAGTCAGGCCCATCTCCACCTCCCTCCCTACAGCCCCCAGTGAGTGACCACAAGCCTGTACATTGATATAGTCTCTTACCTGTTCCTCTCTGGGTAGTCCACATCTAAATAGAGATATGAATCTTTGTGATGTGCAGAGCCATTACCATCAGTTCTGATACTAGTAAGAAAGGGAAGCAGAGTCATTATACAGTAGAGAGGCAAGGCCATGCTCCCACCACCCCTGGGCCTTATCACCCACAGAGCAAAGGAAGGCCAGTGCCTGGGTCTCCAGGACGACAGAGGCATAAAGGAGAGAGAGAGATGGTCTTCGTAGGTCCAAAGCCCACCCCTGAAAGTCAGAAGAGGACCAGTAACATGCCGACTGGGTACCCATTGCCACATTGGTCCTACGCTTCCACAGGCCCCAAAGGGAGCAGGGCCCAGAGCTGATGAGTCTACCCTAAATACCTGGTGATTCAAGAGAGTAGTTTCCAAAGCAGAAATAACCTTAGTCTCTTTGCCAATCCTGAAATGAAAATCTTTTCCTTTTTGAAAACCCAACAGAGAAAAGCAAGCATGAGGCCTTTCTTGATCCTCAGCTGCTGGCACCTTTCCTGCTAAACTATCTTGCAAAATAACTATGATAACAATACCTAGCATGTAGATAATGCTTTAAGATAATGCAAAGCACTTTATATATATTATTTCATTTGATCCTCACAACCCTACAAATGAGGCATTATCATTATTCCCATTTTACAGATGAGGAAACTAAGTCAGGCAGAAATTAAGTGACTTGTCCAGGGCCAGTAAGTGTCTGAGACAGGATTCAAACTCAGGTCTTCTTGCCTCCAGTTCTAGTTCCCTTATATTTAACTACTTTATACATATTTGCATTTATTGTCTTTATATTTATGTTGAATATTATTTGTATATGTAATTATTGTCTCCCCCATTGGAATGTAAACTCCTTGCAAGTAAGGATTGTTTCATTTTGTCTTGTATTCCCAGGGCCTAGCATACTGCTTAGCTCACAGTAGGTACTTAATAAATATTTGTTGATTGATTCAATGATCCAAGAGCTTTCGGGGTCTTGGCATAAGTCACACCCTCCCTGAATCTTTGGGAAGCTCAGTGTCCGAAGACATGGTTTTTGGGATAGTTCTGCCACTGATTGCCTGTGTGACTTTGGAAATGTCACTTATCCTATCTACATCTGTTTCCTCAATTGTAAAATGCGGGGGTTTGGTTTAAATGATTTTTAAGGTACCTCCTAGTTTAGAGCAGTTAGAAATAGGATCCTGTGAATTCACAGGTTGGAGACGGGTCAAAGTATCACAGAAGAGAAGGGAGGTCACGTGGTAGCTGGTAGGAAGTTTCTGGTCTTTGCTCTCAGATTCGGGAAAATGTCACTTAAGAACTGACCACCAGTAACTTCTCCCTCCAGGATTCTGCATAAAACAAACCTCCTCCACAATGTTTTTCTCAATTAACCTCACGTCATCTTGACCTTTCTTTAGTGTTTCTATGTTCTTGGAGCTCCATATATACTCCCTTAAATGACTCTCTAATTTGTTCTATGTCCGCCTTTTATTTCTCCATCTAGACTAAGCCCCATCCCCCTCCCCTTTCTCCATCACATACAGACAAACAAGGGCAGGGAACCTGTAGCATACTTCTGTATCCGCCCTACAGGGCCAAGCACTGGGCCGGGCGCACTGTTGTTCAGTCACGTCTCTGACTCTTTGTGACTCCATTAGGGGTTATCTTGGCAAAGATACTGGAGAGGTTTGCCATTTCCTTCTCCAGCTCATTTTACAGATGGGGAAACTGAGGCAAACAGGGTGAAGTGATTTGTCCAGGGTCACACAACTAGTAAGTGTCTGAGGCCAGATTTGAACTCAGAAAGATGAGTCTTCTTGACTCTAAGCCCAGCACTCTGTGCACTGTGCCACCTAGCTGTACTATACCTGCTAATAGTATTTATTGACCTGTATTCTTGGCTAAGAAAGGCTCCAATCAACAGCTATCCTTGGTCCCTTCGGTGGACCTTGAATAGGAAGGCCTCAACTCAACCAAGTTTTATGACTGTAGGCTACAGCATAGAGATGGATACTTTACCACTCTATGCCCCAACCCACTCCCGCCCATGGCCTTCTCACTCACAAGGTTGAGGAAGATTCTGTGGCCTGTTTCATTTCTAAGAGTATTTCATCCTGTATTCCTTCCAGCTCCTCAGAACTGGAATTTGGTGGTGTTGCTGTTACTGTCTTGTTCTTCTTCTTGACCTTCTTTCGGCGGTGCCTCCTCTTCTCCAGGGGGGTGGCTGTCTCTGAGGAGGTCTTTTTGTGGACATCCTCAATGAGATCTAGCAGAGGGTCATTCAGGATTTCATCCGAGTTCTCCGGAGGGATAGGTGAGGTACACAGGCTGCTGGGGACCTCCTCCTGGGGTTAGGGAGGGCAGGTCCAAAGCAAAGACAGTGAGAACTCAGAAGCCTTCCCAGACTGCCCATTCTCCATGCAAATGTGCACAGAAGGCCTATTACAGTGATTTAAGACACTATTCAGGCAGAGGCCTAGAGTTGGGAGGAATGGTTAGTTCTTTGTGTGATGTATTAGAGAAGGTACTACTGTATTTAGGAGACTTAAATTCTAGTCCCTCAGCTATGGGACCAAAAGCCCTTCACAACCTGGTTTCTTCTTCCCTTTCCCAGTCTTTTTACGCTTTACTCCCCACCAACCACATTTCCCACTTTCATACCTTTGTCCTAGCTGTCCCTCATGCCTGTTTGGCTTCCTTCAAATTTTAGCTTCTTCATGAGGCATTTCCCATTCTACACACACACACACACACACACACACACACACACACACACACACACACCCCTCCCAGCTGCTAGTGTCTTCCCTCTAACTTTCCACCTGCTCTCTCTGTATCTTATAGATGCATAGTTATTCACATGTTGTCCCCCCACCCCCCATCCCCCACTCCCTCACCAATGAGAATGTGAACTCCTGGGGGCAGGTGCTACATTTTTTTTCTTTTTTTCTTTTTTTTAATTCCCAGATTTTAATTCAGGGTCCAGCACATAGTGAATGATTAGTTAACATTTGTGGATTGATGGATTGATTGAAGTCACACCCCTTCTCTGAGATGCAATTTCTTCATACACAAAATGGAGAAAAGAATATTTGTACTATCTCTCAGGATTGTTATGAGGAAAGCTTTTTGTCAACCTTAAAGCCTTGAAAAATGTATAATAATAATCATATTTTCAGGGGCCAAACAGAATAAGTGTTCAATAAGGGATTAAACAGTTATGGGCATTTATGAAACACTTTAAGGCTTGCAGAACACTTTGCATCTATCATCTTGTTTCATCTGTACAAGAACCCTTAGGGAAACTGAGATTCAAAGCTGTAGCATGACAATGTCCAGGTCACAGCTAGTGTCAGGTACAGTTTGAATCCAGGTCTTCCAAGGTTCCTCTAATATCCAATACCTCACAGTTAGAGCAGCGAGTGGCCCAAAAGCTATAATGTGAATATCAGCAAGGCCTCACCCCAGACCCTAGGGACCCTAAGAAGATCTCACTAAAGTACGGACCTGTAGACTAGCCTGGCAATGCCCCCAGGCCCACCCCGGCACTTTGGGAGCTGAGAAGAAAGGGGAGGGAAAAGGCAGGGATCATTTAGGAAGTTTCTGGCAACTGCAGAAAGGAAGGAAAACTAGATTAGGGTGGTGCACTCACCTCACTAGTCTCTAGCTGCTGAACAAAGAAGGCTTCTCCATTGTCTCCCAATTTCATTTGCAGGTCCACTGGTTCCCCATTAATTTCAATGTCAACCTGGGAAGAGAGAAGTAGACCATGTCTCACAGGCAATTTCACCTGTGCCCTCCCCTTCCATATCGGTTAGCCCAACCCCCTCATTTTAAAGAGGGGGAAATTGAGTTTTAGAGAGGTTATGTGACACACAGATAGAGAGGAGCAGAGCTGGGATTCAAACCCAGATTCTCTGAATTCATTACCCTATTACCATACTGCCTGGTACAAGCTGCTGGGGTATCAGAATTCCAACCCTTGCTCTCTGCCATCCCCTAGCCCAATCATTCTGCAGTGTAGACAGTAGGCTCTCCCTCCCCCTGTGACGATACCCAGACCCTAAGCCAAGATGATTGAGGTCAAGGAGAAACCTTAGGGACAACCCACCATCCCACAGATCTTGCGGCTTACCACCTTCTCACGGGATCGCAGGACACCCAGCTTGCCAAAACGAACATGGAAAGGGGAGCAGAGGAAGGAGCCGTCTGGTTGTTTCACTACTAGCACATCAATGCCACCCGATAGTGTGGCGGGGTTCAGGCCCTTGTACAGTTCCTTCACTGTCACATACACCGTCTCCGCCAGCTGGCCCACGTAGTTCATGGTCCAGTGCTGTCAACAAATGGCAGGAAGGGTCACCTGAAGGCCAAGTTCTGCCAGCTTTCTTCTAGCCTTTACAGAGCACTAATTGCTGGGTAAATTATTCTTTCTAGATGAGGTCAACATTGCCCATTGTAACTCACCACATGTAAATCATCTCTAGGATTTTATAAGCATTACTGACACATACCCACTGATAATAAGCACCACATTCTTGTCTCGCAGAATTCTAGGACACCAGGGCTCCTCATATGGGGTATCTCTGGGGTATCATATATGAAGAAATTGACTCCAAGGTCAAGGGTTCTGAAAGCTACAGATGGAATTGGGACAAGGGCAGGGCCAGAACAACAGGAAAATTGGTGGGAAGGGAATCAGGGCCTCAGGGTTCCTTTTCATCCTAGGAGCTCACACTCTAGGCTCCAGGGCATCTTTTCCCAAACCTGTCTGGTCTCTGAGAGGGGAAGAAGCAATAATCCTGCATCTACAATGCCTTAATACCTCAAAAGGCCATCTATCCCCCTTCTTGTCAGGGACTCTTTGATAGGCTTGGCAAGTTGCCCCATAGAAACTCAGAGTTACAAGGGCTTTCTGAAGGTCTACCTGAGCAGGAATCCCCTCCACAACATCCCCAAGTGGTCATTTGACTTCTGCCTGGCTATCAGTGACAAGGAGTCCACTAACTTCTATCTTCAAAGGCAGAGGGCCTCGGAATCTCCCCCTCAGTTCAAAGCAGCAAGTGGCAAAGAGGCTCTGGAAGGCCAACATCATCACTGCTCTAAAGATCAGGCCATGCCATCCCGAGATAGAAGGGCGTGGAGTCCATCTTTGCACCTTCACCACCTACCCTGCAGGCCAAGTCTCCCTTTTCCCCTGCTATCCCACCATCCTCTCCTTCATCCTCAAGCTACCCTAAGGAGAGGAAGGCTGGCCTGCCCTTCTGACTTCAGACGTAGAAACAGGGCTGGGGGCAGATCCCAGGAGGCTGGCTCCCCAGCTCTCTACTCCAGGAACAGCCCCTAGCCTCAACCCCCAGTGGAACCAGGGCCCAGCCCTGGAAGCTCACTGGACAAAAGGACAGAGAGACAGACAGAAAGACACCCACATGAAGGCCAAGATCACGGGACCAGATGGGCAGCCCAAGGGAAGCTGCTGAGTCCAGCTATCTTGCCTGCAGAGAGTAGAGAGCAGGGGAGGACATGCAGGTATGATGGGGCACAGAAGAATAGCTGAAGCCACCCTACTCCTCGCTCCAGCTCTTCCTATCCTTAGGACATGGGTTCTAGGTCTGATACTTAAACATTGGGTATATACAAGTATATCTACAGAACTCAGAGCCCCAGATCCTCAAACCCCCAAATTATCAATCAATATGTCCCCTATGCCCTTAGCGGACCCCTTCCAACTCTCCCCTCCCCCCTTCCCTCTGCCATGCATCTGGCACAGGGTGTATGTTTCCCTTCTGCAGTGGGCAAGTTAGAGGGTGTGTGCATGCGCATGCACACACACACACACACACACACACACACACACACACACACACACCCATGTAAAATAAAAAGGTGAGATTAGCTGACCTCTGAGATTCCTTCCAGTCCTAGATCAAAGATCTAATGTTCCTCAGCCTGCTGCCTTCCCACCAGGCTCCCATCCTGGGCTGGGCCGTGTGTGTGTGTGTGTGTGTGTGTGTGTGTGTGTGTGTGACTCCACCTCTAAGTTGTCAGGTCACTCTTTCCCTCTGGGCCTCAGTTTCCTTCTCTGTAACATGATCAGGTCAAACTAGATCCTCTTCAGATCCGGTGCCTCCCAGAGAGCCTGTGAATCACCTGCCTGTACAAGCGTGTAGCCGGCTCCCTCCCTCCCTGGGCCCGGCCTTCCCAAGGCAGATGTCTGTCCTTCCTGTTCCTGAATTCTGGAAACTTCTGGGACCAGTTCTTCCTGGACTTGGGATCTAGCAGGGGCTTGACCTAACAACCTGAGGTGTGAGTGGTGCAGAGGCAGAGTTCACAGCCCCAGAGCCTTCAAAAACAAAGGGAAAGCCACCATCCCGTCCTTGCCCTTCATCCCTACCAGAAGGCCAAGGCCTAGCCCATTCCAGGCCGGCCTTTTTTAAAGAGCAAACAATAATGTTTGGATACAAGAGCCTGATCTATCTTGCCTCGGTTTCCTCAATTAAAAAAACCATTAAGAAAGACTCTGGACCATTGGACCTATAGGGTCAATCAGGGCAGCGAGGGACTAGAACCCTCTGCCCTCCTTGACCCAAGAGAAGCCACACCCTGCCCAGTGGGGCCAAGTCTGCTGAGGGTATCCCAAAGCCTAGCTGGACTAAGCTCACAACAACACTGACATAGCTTTCCCCGATGCATCACTGAGTCATCATAGCGTGGAGGCCACCTAGTCCCATTCCCTAATTTTACAGCCGAGGAAACTGAGGCCCAGAGAGGTTGAATCACTTGTCCAAGGCATTAGAGGCAGGTTTTTGAACCCAGGCACTCTGACTCCAGAGACAGTGTTCTTTCTGCTATGGCACCCTTTCCACCTAAACAGTGTGTATCTCAGTTTTCCCATCTGCAAAATGGGAGCAACTCTTATTTACACACCTTTGGGAGGTAGGGGTGGGTTTGGACAGAGCAGGCCAATTACCAAAAGGCTGCTGTGAGCCATAGTCTCTAGTTCGTCCCTGTTCCTATAGAAGCAGGCAGCGAGGGTGGGCAGCTGGGATCCCCTCTCGCCACTACCAAAAGCCCACCTAGCCTCTCTCCCCTGGCTAGGAGCCATCCCTAGGGCCCAGGAGGCCCAGTGACCCCCCCGGGCCCCCCAGCCCAGCTAGTCCAGGCAATTCTGGGGCGCTGCGCTGGGAGGGGGTGTCTCACCTTCCCCAGACCTCACGGCTCCATCACGCAGATTCCTGGCACAGGTGGCCCCCTACAGGCTGGGCCAGGCACTGCATGCGGCCCCAGAGGTTTTAAACCGGGGCCTGATTCAGGCGCCACCCCACCCCCAAGAGGGCCTTTCATCTGTGGCCTTTCGGGCCTGAATTTCCACCCCCTTCAGATCCTTCATCCTGGGCCCCCCATGCTTCAGAGAGGCTTCTTCTGCGCCCAGGCCTCTCACATTTCTATGCCATTATACCAAATCCAATCTTGCCATGATATCCCAAGTCCCCCATGTTTGGGTTCAGATGCTGGCTCTACACGATTTGTGTAAAGCATTTCCCTCCTGAGGGCCTCAGTTTTTTCATCTATAAAAAGAGCGAGCTGAGCTAGAAAATCTCAACCATCCCTTCTCTAATCCTGAGCCTCACACCTGGGCCCCTCAGGCTGTAACACCACCTCCTGGGTAAAAATGCACACTATTTCTGGAAAATCTAGCTTCTTTAGCTCTTTAAGGCTTACAAAGCTCTCTGGAAGTTAGGGGATACAAGTAAGTGTCAGAAGCTGGATCTCAATCCTTGTGGGCCGCTCCAAACCCGACGCTCTTCTCGCTGCCCAAACCTGTACGCTCAGACGCTTGACCCCACACCTGAGGGCCTCAGAAAACATCAGGGGCTAGCCATACCTCGGTGTCCCTCAGACTCCAAACCCTCCCAGCCAAGTCTCCAGCTCCTCGAGCCTCAGACTTCAGGCATTTCAAGCCCTTTGCCCCCAGTGCTGGGCTCCTCTCTTTTCTTGTAACCAAGATTGAGAAAACACATAGCTAGCCAAGTCTTCCTGCCCGTGTGGACCAGTGGGGGTTTTGAAAATGGGAACAAGGAAAGAAAAAAGGAGACTGACCACAGAGTAGGCTTAGGAGTAAGTCTTAAAGGAATGACCTGTCCGGTCGTCGCCCCTCACTTACTCATGTCTCCTCTCAGCCTCCATTGCTCTACCAAAGTACCATTTTGACCAGCATTTGGGGGACATGGATCACCCCAACTCATGCCCTTTCGACTTCAGACCCTGTGCCTAGGCCAGACACTTTGGTTCCCGACCTGGAATTGACTTACATACACGTAAGTATCCTTGGGGAGCCTGAACTCTCTCTCTCACCTCCTACGAATCCCTGAAATCACTAGTTACATCAGTCACCGAGAATAGTAACAGGTAAAGGCAATTCTGTTAAGGGCAGACACGAGGAAAGCAAATACATTCAGAGGTTCAGCTCTCTCCCCACGTCTCCCCCTACCCAAGCCACCTCCATTACCCAGACCCAAGGGTGGATGAATGCAGCAGCCCTGGCATCCAGGCTGGAATTACCTGAGGTTTGTTTATGTAAAGGCTGGACTTTATCCTGCTCCAAAGTTTGTTTGGGTTTTTTGAGGTGGGAGTGGGGATCCTTCCTCTTCCAGCCTTGGGTATGAAATATAGGAACAGCTCCAGGTTCTGGGGGCCAACTGGGCATCGGACAGGATACACAAGACTTGTTTTTGGAGTCTGAGACTCTGACCCTAGCCTGGTCACTGTTATTATTTTAATAAGCATTTGGGTGTTTTCTTAGAATCATTTGGGGAAGATGGCCAGCCCCATGTTAGCCCAGCCTGCAGACCAGGAAGCTAGTCCTTGACAATGGAGACAAAACATTGTTAATGACAAAGCTGCATTAATTAGCACTAATTAGCCTCTTCTTTACCAAGAAGGCCGAACACTGTCCCTTTAATTCTTCCTCCAGCTTTTACCTGCTGGCTTTTGTTTGGGTGTGGGCATGGAGGTAGGGGTTCTCAGCAATGCGGCCATCTTGGAAGAGGAGGCCCTCCAGACCAAGAGGCCAGCCCAGCCATCCTCTGGGCTTGATGGAGAGATATGCAGCTGCCACAGCAGAGGAGCTCCATCTCCCTATCTGAAAAAGGGAAGCTAGGACCCTCACCAATGAGGCAGACAGACAGGAAGAATGAAAACCATGCCCTAGGAGAGCAGACTGAAGGAACTAGCAAAATTTATGATTGCTCGGGGCTGCTAGGTGGTGCACTGGCCCTGGAGTCAGGGGGGCCAGAGTTCAAATCTGGCCTCAGACACTTGACACTTAACTAGCTG